TTGCCGCCTGCCTAGCAGGCTTCAGAATTTTTCTCCCTTTGTTGGGGACGATTTATTCCGGTAAATTGGCACAAGACACTCTGCATACGTGTCACAGTTACGAATTATAGATCCATTCTTGCTCGATTCAACGTTTGAATGCTGCGTGACTGTCCTATCCCGGCCCAGGTCACAAGTCAAGAGTCCATGGATGATGACTGTCATGGGCAGGGTTGCACGCCCAGGCGGTAATAAACTGGACCCTGAAGATTGGAAGAGGGGCAGGATGGGTATGTCAGAGGCTCTGAGGGGCACGCAAGATGATGACGGTGGAATCAAGCAGAGCCCTCCCAAGGCAGCGTGGGGTTGTTCATGATTGATAATGGACGGGTGACGAAAGACGTTGCGTGGGCGTTAAAGTTCTTGTTCTTGTTAGACAAGGCAGAAACTACGAGATGCTGCCTTGCTGACTGATAATCAAGCAAGACAAACAACACACACAATAGTATTATGAAAAGTTAAAAGGCGGATTGTTTACTTACACCGCCGTGTCGGTAGGTACAAAGATTTTAAAGATTCTTTCCCATGCATGATGCTACGTCAAACCCGGACGGTCAAATGTGATGGATGACTCCCGCGAAGAAATCATCCAAGCAAATCGCCTGCCAGCTTCCACGTTGGACATTAGCTCGTCGGACCCTGCGCGGTAGCCGTTTGGGAGGTTACGGACGGGTTCGCTTTCGCTACCCGATCCCACGAGCGCTTGTCGGAATGGTCAGGATCGCCCATCCAATCCGTCCTTGGCCGGCGCCGTTGGATTGGATTGGCACGCAGACACAGAGCTAGCGCGCTTGTCGGATGCCCTGAGGCACCGAGACCCTCGATGGAAGTGACTGCGATTGCGCCCCTAACCCACAGGGGCACTGCACGTCTGCCTCTGACGGAGGTGAGGTGTGGATGGCACAGGCCACACAGCCCAACAGGGGTCGCCTGGGCTGCTGTACCGACAGGGGCCGCCGTCCCGCCCCCGCCACTGGGTCCTGGTCCTCGAAACCCTTCTATTTTGGTAGGTCGACTGGACAGGTACAGGTACCTTCCTAACTATTCGGCCACTGACGCTTCGCTCCGAACCCGAAACCACGGCCTTTTTTGAGGTAGAGCTTCCCCCTCTGGTTTCTCGTCGTCGGGTCTTTCAGCTCACGCTTCGCTTTCTCTTCTTTCTTCTGCTTTGAATAATTCTTCCAACCTCTTCCTCGCCCGTCTCCTCTCGTCTCCGAGCGACCAGTACATTGACCGACTCATCTATCGCACCCTCACTGCATTAACCTATCCATCTCACCGCGCGCGTCGCACCGAGCCGCCTCCCGTCCCTCCTCAACCATCGCCTGCGACTGATGCGCCCCCGATAATGAAGGCTTGTGGCCTGTTGTTACCTCGCTGAACCTCACGAGGCACCCGATCTTTTCTCACAATCACATCCTTCTTTTCTACTACATTCAGCAACCATGAAGGAGTTCCCTCGGAAATTCCTCAGCTTGCGCGACAAGAATGGCGCAGGCCGTAGATCTAAGTCGGCTGCACCAGCGCCGCCTGTACCAGCAACCTCTGACAACGCCAACAAGAACAAGGTATGCTCGAGATGCCCTCAATGGTCATGTCTCGAGGCGGTGGGCTTGGCCACGACGTCAACCATGCCTAAAGCCACGGGGCAAATCATTTTGGACTCATTTGCTGACCAGCTGCGGGACAGCCTCGTCCACTTTCTGCAGGCGCCTTCATGGCCATGTTCAAGACAGACAACGCCAAGCCAGGCGCCAAAGCAGATGCAGACAAGGAAAAGGACACAGCACGAGTACGGAACAGCCCCCGCGATCATAGGAGCCGATTCATTAACACCAATCCGTTAGGTCGAGGAGATTCTACGACGGCTTGACGAGCTCAACATAACAAACGTCACCGCTGACCACATCAACGACATCATGGCCACCAAATTCGCCGACCATGACCCGAAAAAGACGGTCGAATTCATCGACATGGAGCAGAAGGCGGCAGCTGGCATCATCACCCCTTACGACCCAAGCGTGGAAATGGTTGGTGCCGAGAATCGTGGCAACGTAACGTGTTACTTGGACGCCCTGCTCTTCTCCATGTTTGCCAAACTTGACGCTTTTGAGTGCATGCTCAAGAATGAGTTTCCTGAGGAAGACAACCGCAATAAGCTCGTCACTCTCTTGCGCATGTGGGTAAACATGCTGAGGACTGGAAAGCTAGTACACACAGATCTGGTAGGTTGAGGCACATCCCATCCCGCAGGTTAAATTAAACTCGGCTAACTCGCGCAGACCAAGCTCATCCAGGACGCCTTGGCTGACTGTGGCTGGTCAGATGCTCGGATGCTGGAGCAACAAGATACTTCGGAAGCTTTTGCTTTCATTACAGAAACTCTACAGCTACCCCTCCTCTCATTGCAGGTCGACCTTTTCCACCAAGGCAAGAAGGATAAGGACGACCACAAGGTTGTCTACGAACGTCTCCTGAACCTTGCCGTGCCTCCGGATCCCGAGGATAAGGGAATCAAGTTGGAGGATTGTCTCGAGGAGTACTTCAACGCCCAGGTCGACGTCAAGCGAGACAGCGAAGATGGGAAGAAGCTCAGCGTGGAAGACAGGAGCTACAGCGAGCCACCAAAGCTGAAGCACAGGGATACGATCCGGATCATCACCGAGGAAAGGGGCGAACCATCAACACCCATCACTGCCTCCCCGACGACTATCACTCCCATCGAGAGGACACCCACCGCCGAGAAAGGACCCATTCTTGGGGGCCAAGACGTCAAGACCAAACATGGCGATGTTCCTGATGATGAGGAGGTGGGCGAAGTCACCACCATCGAAATAGCACAGGAGCGCAAGCCGTCCGTTCGAGCAAGGTCAACAAGTGTTATCCAGCGGGTCGTTCTCGATGAGCAGGGTCGTCCATCTACCCCTGACAATATCACGGTACTCCAAAAGGCCATGAGAAAGGGCTCTACTGTGGTCAAGGCCGTAACAATCCCTGCGTGGCAATTTTTCAGACTTATTCGTGAGTTTGCCCCCCTATTTCCCACGACAGCACTAACAAGCATGGTAGCATGGCATGCGTTGACAAGCTCCGAGCCCCGAAACAACGTCGACGTTGCCTTGAACTTTGACCAACGACCAGTTGTAGGCATCTGCCTCAAACGCTATGCCATGACCGAGTCGGGCCACCCCAAGCGCCATAACACCTTCATTGATATACCTGACAGCCTCAGGCTCCCGCACTTTATGCTCGCTGACGAGATCAAGACGGAGGAGGAGTCGAATGTCCTTAACATGGAGTATAAGCTCGTTCTCCAATCTGTCATCTGCCATCGTGGTGATTCTTTACAAAGTGGACACTACATCTCGTTCGCCAGAGTTGCCCCCAAGCTCCTGAAGGATAACCGGCGCCACAATTTCGACCCTCCCCCGGATTACGAGGAGGCTCAATGGGTCAAGTTCGATGACCTACAGATCGAGAACCGTGTCAGTTACGTCGACGACATCAAGAGGGCCCTGAGAGAAGAGATGCCGTATCTGCTCTTTTACCAGATCGTCCCAATGGTTGATGTTGCCCCTCCTTCTGTCGACGACACCGAAACCGAGCCGCCATCATATAACGAGTCCAAGGTTAGCATCGAGCTACCTCCCACACCAACCCGAAGCAACCAGCTGGGAATTTCGGGCCAGGACGAGAGCTACTTTGGCAATACTCCAACCATTGAGAGCTCTCAGCTATATGCCAGCAAGCCACCAAGCATTCGACTCTCTTCAGACAGCGAACGCCCCCCTAGAAGGAGTGGTGAGGGTATAGATTTCCACCAGGGGTCTCTCCTGGGAGATTCTCGTCGCCCTAGCGTGGTCTGGACGGATTCGACTTCTCCAACCCCCAACTCTCACTCTCCAGCCGTGACACCAAACGAAGAATCTACGGCATCGAGGTTATCTCGCGCAGCATCACGGTTCGCCAAGGTCAACAGGAGTCGACCGAGCAGCCAGAATGGCGACAACCGTATCAGCTTTTCAATGAGCCGCTTAGGAGGGCTCATGCGGCCAAGCAAGGAGCCTTTGGTGGATCCCAAGGCTGACCCCAAGGCAGATCTCAAGGTAGATTCCAATCCTCTTGGGATGTCCTCGGCCAACTCTACAGGTGTTTTGACCATGGAGCTATCCAAGGAGTCCAAGAGCAGCACCGATGGAGCTGAAGCACCTGCTGAGCCAGAGACCGAGTCTCATCACCATCACCACCACCACCAGCATGGTGGGAAGCATGGCCATAAACGAATCAAGTCCAAGGATAAGATCAAGAACAAGAACAACCCTCAACCAGAGCGAGAATGCACGGTGATGTAATCGTCGTGCTTCTTGACGACGGCAAATGACACCAAAAAACATGAAGCGACGAAACATCAACACACACACGAAATCACGACTTTTCTCAATGTTTGAATACACACGCATAGGAACAGGAGTTGCCGGCTCAAAAAAGGAAACAATGCAAAAGCCTCGGATGGGAATGGTTGCCGGCGAACGAGATAACGCACCGCCCTGGTGGACTGTAATGGTGTTGGACGAGATGTAAAAGGGGAGGAGAATGACCACCAGGGTACGTGATGACTGAACGGACGAAAGAAGAGCGGAATTGCATTTTTCTTTCTCTGTTTTCTTGTTTGGCCAAGGGCCTACATAGCCTGGAAGGAAGAAGAAAAAGCCAAAAGATTCTAGCAAGGCGTTTTGGATGGACGTGGTACCACAGGACATCTGTCTGTACTCATCAAAGGTTACCACGAGGGGGTTGGTATAATGACGCACACGCACACGCAAAAGACAGACGCAAAGGCAATGAGAGAGACGAGACTACAAGAGGCTCATGATCAGTTAATATGACTACTTGAACATGTTTCATTCCTCATGATTGACCATTTCTCATGCTTCCACGTCACATCCTTTGAGAAACTCTGTAGCATCACGTTTGTCTATTTCCTTATACATAGTTACATGAACAGGGAGGCCGTTTCCCAACAGCCCTCCCCGTGGGTAGATGCCCCATCCATCATCATCAACAGTTTAACTTGAAAACCCACCACCTCGATGTGCGCCAAGGGGGGCTGAGTATTCAGTCAAACATTTTAAAAAATATCAAGAACAAGTGAGGATTCCCCAGCTTTGTTTCCTCGCCCTCTGCTGTGCGTCGCAGAAACAAATGACCGACGCAGAACACACACGACAATAATATACACAGATGCCCGGGATCCCGTATCCCCAGGGGAGTTTGGAACAAGCTGCTCCAGAGGATCAGACGAGATGTATATGCAAGAGATCCCCCCTGGGAGACGAGAAACCACGGCATCATCGGAGGCGGAAAGGACGACTAATACATCAAGGGGGGTGGTGGATCGGGGGGGAGAGGGGTCGTGGCGTTTTCCTGGGCCGGTCAACGGTGGGCTACATTAGATTATTCCACCGGATGAGAGCGAGTCGTAGCTGGTGTCATTGGGAGTGCCTTTCGTATCCCAGAGCTTAAAAGGGGATGTTGGGAGGAGGCTGAGATCCAAGGGCCTCCTGCTGTTCTTGAAGCTCCTCGGGAGCAGCCTCGATAGAGACACCCAGTCCAATCTTGGCTTGGCGCTATAGCAAAAAGTCAGTATCATCCAGGGCGTCTTGGGATTGAGAATACGAACCGTAAAGTGGTCAATGTCGGCGGCAAAGGTCATCATAACAGGGGGGGCAACACGCTTCTCAAGAACGCAGCTAAGCTTGCCCTTGGAGTCGACCTGAGCTCGGAAAGTAGACATGCGGAAGTCGTACTTGGCGCCAATGGTGGTGACGCCCTCCTTCTGCAGACCGCCACCCATCATGCCGCCGGGAGAGGGGACGAGGCCGAGGCTCAGATCAACACCAGCCTGGACCTTGTCGGAGAGTCGTCGCCAGTAAGAGGTATTGAGAGTTCCCATGGCAGCCTGGAGCTGAGCGGTGGCAATCCAATCGTTAGACTTGTAGCGGGCAGCGTACGAAACAGCGCACTCGGGGCCCTGGGTGAGGGCAGGTCGCTGCCAGAGAGTCTCGAGACCAAGAGCGAGCTTGGGGGTGACGGACTGGAGGTAGCTACCAATGAAGATACCAGTAAGTCCGCCCTCGAGGTAGGAGGGGTTGAGCATCTTGAGGGATGCGCTAAAGTCGTTGCCGGTGTACTCGTGCTCGAACTGCGCCATATCCTGACCACCAGGCGAGATGGAGAGCTGAGACTTGGAGACAAGCTTGTCGGACCATCGCCAGTTGAATCGCCCGGAGAGAGCGCCCTCGTTGTCGAGGTTTCCTTGGCAGAAGACCTAGTGATGGGTTAGCACCCCGCCTATACGAATTTGTCATCGCGGTTAGCTACCTTGCCTGTGCCGTACATGGCGGCAAAGGTGTAAGGGTTGATGCGCTCGCCCAGGGCAAATTGGTGCGAGACCTGGAAGAGGGGAGCCATGCTGAAGATCTTGGTCAGGTCGGCGCGGATGCCGGTGAACATGTAGTTGTTGAGGAAGACATCGCGCTGAACCTCTTTGGCGAGGTTCTCAATGGTTCCGGGGTTGGACAGGCCGAGCTTCGCCCTCCGCTCGCTGAAGGAATTGAGAGCATCTCCTAACACATTTGCGATTGGGTTGGAGAAGAGGACCGCCTTTATGGGGTCCAATGCGGCTGAGGAGGCCATGGTGAGAGATGTGCGCCGAGGCGAAGCCGGAGACAAGGTCGGAGCCGGCAAGACAAGAAAGAGACTCGGCGACGAAGATATCGACGAGGGCGCAACCGATATGCGGGGGCCGGAGGGGGGAGGAGCAGGGTAGAAGAGGTTGCTGAGATAACCTCGATCGCGTTCAAGTCCCGAGGCCTCTGAACGCCAGGATCGTGATGACGAGCACAGATGGCTTTGGGGTGGTGTTGGGGAGGATGGAGAATAATTTTCATCTGGCTCCGGACAGCTCTAGTGAGGAGCACGAGCCACCAATGATGTCGAGTCGGTTGCCTGTGCGGCTTTTGTGTGGCGGAGGCAAGAATCTTCCGTGCTCCGTTGGAGTCAAGCCACGAGGGGTAGTCAGATGTGGCTTGTAAGACCGAGGTTTATCCACCATCGCATCTGAGCTGAGGGGCCCTGGAATGGGAAGGCGCCAAGGCTCTGGCTCAGATCGGCCTGGGCTAGGGGCAGTGTCGTGTCTTTGGTTGGCGACACAAGGTACTCCACAGGTACTCTGTACTTCCCACTGTAGGCCCTCTCCCAGGGATTTCGGGCTCACATGCACGACTTTGCACCACGCATTGGTGAATGACGTCCTGGTCAGTGGGTACAGGTACTTTGATCGCTACCTACGTCTGTCAATGAGTCCCCTCAACGCCGTTCAACACCAACGACTGCCATTTTCAATTCTCTAATGCTTCTCTTCTTCTTACACTTTCGTCTTCTCCATTGCAAATTCTCCCGATCACTTCTTCTCTTCCCTTCTTGCACGACGTTGTTGAATGAGAGCGGTCAAGGCTTTTTTTATCTCTCGAGCCGACCCCGCCGATAACGCCCGAATTCTCTCCATCTCTCCCTTCCTCCGCGAGCTCATCCCTCGTCTCTGAAGCCGTACCACAAAAGGGACCCGTTAAACCATTCAAGGCGCCAGTTGCAGATCACTACAGGTTCATTGACGCACAAAAAAGTACATCACCTTTTATCGACCAGCATCTTGCCCGCTCCACCGACTGCTTCGTACCATTGAGCATCACATCGCATCTGCAACAGCCTTCATCCGTTCGGTTCAACTCTCACCGAGCAACATCACTAGTGGTCGCAATACTGTTTCGTTTCCCGGGCCTCAGAAATCTTCGTTGTTTTTAGTCATACGCCAGTAATTTAACCCTCACGGGGAACGTATCTCATTAGCCTAGAAGTACCTTTGCCGGGAGCCCTACAGGGATACTCGAACCGACATGGATACTCTCTTGTAGGTGGAATTTCTCTTCTTCTCTTCCGTTGTTGTTATCTTCCATCCGCCTTAAGAATTTGGGGACTACTTCATCTTGAGACCTTCATAGACTCCAGCCTCAAACTGTCTCATAGGAGTCCCTAATTGAGCCGCTTGCCACGTTCCTGAAGCATCTCGCATCATCTTGGCTTGCTGGACGTCAGCACAGGCTTCTAACAGAATCACCTATGACCCTTCTGTTGTCTCCATGATCAGTTCATAACTGACAGTAAAAAGAACCGCTGAGATTGCGGCCAACGCTCCTCGCTACCGCCGCAAAAGCTCAACCTTTATCGATGGCATCCACGACATTACCGAGGGCCAAGATTTGGCCCCGGCCCAACTCTACAGTACCATGTCGGGTCGGCTCTTTCACTCTGGTCGTATAGCCATCGTCATGGTAGGACCACCCGCTCGTGGAAAGACGTAAGTTAAGGCCTTCCGGGTGTTGGTCAACGCTAACGGTTCTTGTAGGCACATCTGCGTCTCCATGGCGCGGTATCTTGGATGGCTTGGTGTCAAAACTCGCATCTTTCATCTTGGTGACTATCGCCGGGCAACTGTTGGCCCTGAAGGAGAGATCCCTGACGACTATTTCTTCCCAAATGCGTCGCCAGCTTCGGTTATCCTGCGCCAGAAGATCTTGAAGAAATGCCGTGAAGATATTTACTCCTGGTTGAACCATGACAATGGACAAGTGGCCATTTATGACGCTGTCAACCCGACTGCCAACGGGCGACGTTCGCTTGCTAAGGAGTTTGCGAAGCATGATGTTCAGGTAGGGAAGACATGGCGCTCGCTTTTGGACATGAACTAATAACTCATTGGATAGACCCTGTTCATCGAGTCGTTCGTTGATGACGAACGCATTCTTCGGGAGAATGCTCGTAACGTCAAAATCTCGTCCCCAGACGTCAGTATACATTTGCACCCAAGTTAAGTAAAGGAGGCTGACTTTGATGAATAGTTCGCGGGCATGGAACCAGATGAAGCTGCCAAGTTGTACCTTCAGAGGATCGAGATGAAGATTCCCGTCTTTGAGACCATGGATGAGAAAGAGCTCAACTATGTCAAAATGATCAACGCCGGAACCAAGTTCTTCTACAACAATGTCAGCTTCAACTATCTCTCGCACCGAATCGTCTTCTACCTCACAAACCTACACATCAAGTCGCGCAAGACCTTCTTTGCCCGAGCTGGCACCACAGCAGAGGAAGATTCGTACAAGGCCGACGCCCCCTTGTCACAGGAGGGGAGAGATTATGCCGAGAAGATGTCCGAGGCACTCATACGGCATCGTGAACAAGAGCGTCAGACGACCATCGCCGAGGGAGGTGCAGATGTGCCGCTGCCGCCCCTGACAGTCTGGACGTCAACGCGAATGCGTACTGTTCAGACATCAGATGCCTTGAAGGAGAAGGGCTATCGAGTCCGGCAGCGCTCGCAGCTCAGTCAGATAAACCCTGGCGTCTGCGAGAAGATGTCGGAGCGAATGATCCGCCAAATCTATCCCGATGAAGTTGAGAAGCACGAACTGGACCCATACCACCACCGCTATCCCCGTGCAGAGGTAAGTTGTCTAGTAAAAGATGCTATATGAGAGTTGATAAGGATACTAATTCAAACAGTCGTACCACGACCTCGCTGTCCGGTTGGAACCTATCATCCTGGAACTGGAACGAGAGCAGCATGATCTCCTCATCATCGCACACGAATCTGTGCTCCGGGTTCTATACGCCTACCTGATGCACTGTTCTACTATGGATATCCCCATGATCAGGTTTCCCCGCGACGAGGTCATCGAGATCATCCCGGCTGCGTACCAGAATGAGGCAAAGCGCATCCTCATCCCCGGCCTGGACCCTCTCATCGTGCCCGGCTCGCCACAGGACATCAAGATCCCTGTTCCGAGCAGCGGCTACGCGAGCGCGCAGTTGACGCCGATTCCCAGCGGTATTGGCACCCCGGTTGATCACAGCGAGCGGCTGCCTGACAAGGTCATCAGCACGGTCAAGGACCTGGTCGCGGACAAGGTGAACGATGAGGACTAGTCTCTTGCAGTTCCCGTGCTTCGGGCGAGGGTGTTGAGGCATCGAGAGAACCAAAGACTGATGAATCCTCGGACCCAACCCCTCTCAACGGAGAAGTACCACGATGATCTGCGGCCAAGGACGAGGAGTCATTTTAGGAGTGAGCGGCAGGTTGAATACTATCAAAGAAAGAAATGATGCATCACTGATCACATGATTCGACGAGGTCGCATCCCAGACGCTGGTCGGTTACATCCAAAAGCATGCATTTTGATATGACAAGTCGAGCCATGAACCTCGCCAGGTAGCCCTTCACCCTTGCTCCTTGCTTCCCCAAGCCCTCGGTTCCAGGGAGCCCAATGATTTCAAAGCCAGGTCATGCTACGCTACGGATACGGGGTCTCTCGTTTCACTCGGGTTGCAGAAACAACGTGGAAAAGCAACATGGTGGGAGGCTGTCAAAGGTTGGGCACGAGTGAGTAAGTGAATGCGTTGAGTGAGTTGGTGTTGGTGGAGGGTAGGTAGCAATGATTTGTCTGTGAGCAGGGGCATAACCGAGATAGCTCAGCACATCATCATTCCTTGGCTACCTACCTTACCTACAGTATGTACTTATGAATCCCATCCCATAGTTGGTTATCTACGAATTTTGTCTTCCATCACGACGAGTGAGTGATGAATCAATGCCTTCCCCCCCCCTTCTCGGCGGCAAAGTGCAGAAAGCCACAAGCACAAGAACAAAAAGAGTCAAACATGTCGCAAACCCAAAAGCAAGCGCCTGGCCCGTCTCTTTTTGTGTCTCAAATCAACGAGTCCCAATAAATCCCATTGGTTGAATTTCCTCTCTTGCTGCCAACAAAAAAGAAACAAGAGACAAAAGTTTCAAGGCAAAGGGGACGCATCAACGGGCGGCGTGGCACGACGTTACAAGCTGACACCAACAAGTGGCTGGCGCAAAAGTCAAGATACAACTCGAGTACACTCGTCCAGAACTCGGCCGGCCACAGGCACAGAGGTATCAACCAGGTCGCGCGAGCACAGCGGCCTCCCGGTGCCTTGTGCCTGGGGTGGGCGGCCGGGGGATGGACGTGTTATTTGCCGGGAGATGCAGGTCGCTGGATTGGGGAAGCTTGTGTGCACAGGGGGGTCATGTCAAGGATGGGTGAGTGGGCGTTTAATTGTGCTTTGCTGTTCTGTCCTGTCCTGTGCTGTAGGAAGAAGGAGTAGGACTGACGGCGGACGATACAGGACGTGTCTTGTTGGCTGAGGCATTACTGTCTCCCAGTCAGTCAGTCAGTCTGTGTGTCTGTCAGTCAGAGTTCCAACAATGGAGCTGTAGCAAGTCAGAATGATCGACATCTGCTCGTGGTTAACGAGAGGTCATCAAGACGGCAGACTTGCCATATCTGGAAGTAGAGCTCAACTGTAATCGACGCAGCAAGCACTATTCCAGGCTCAACCCTCCCCCCGTCAAGGTCTTGTCTTTCGTCACATCATGAACAACAGCCTAGAGGAACGGCCCTCTCCCCAGCCGGGGAGCATGGCAAAACCTCCGGGACCACCAGTGTCATATATGACAGGCACCGGACCATGTCCACTGATTACCTGCATATTTCGGCCATCCGCCACCTAGTCCAGGTTGCAAAGATCTTCCCCTCCAATGGCCGAAGTAACGCCCGTAGGTAGGTAGACCTCAGTTCAGTGCTGCTTGCTCGCTCGCTTCCTAGGCTTCCTCCTCACTATGCTCTGTGCGCCGCATGGATCCCTCTCGTGTCCGTGACCGGGTCATCACGGATCAAGCTCCACGGCGACAACCTCCGACATGGACGGCCGTGTTTTCGAGGTCAGGTCTGGTCTGCGAACGTGAAGATCCAGAGGGTTACCCCAAGGGCAGGGGTCCGAGTCCATATGGATGCGTGACAGTGACAGCGACAGCGATCATCTTTACATGTATGTCCATACACCCAAGAAAGAGACCCTATGTTGTCCCGTAAGCATAGATGCCTTAATATCACGGCTGTCGAGTTTGCTCAGCAACAGAAGCTACTGCCATCTTGGTCAACATGGATTCTCTGATCTCGCTTGTGTCCCCGGTCCCCAACAAATAGGCGCATACATGTGCCGATACGTTAGTTCAACGGCTGGCAAGTATACTTACTATACCAGCTTTTGTCCGGCATGACGAGTTTTGTGTCATGTTCCACAGTCTGCAAGGGAATACCGTCATGGTGATACATCAAATGAGGACAGACCAGAATCCATTCATTCCCTTGTCTCCCCCCCGTGGCGTCGTAGGCGAGACACGCCCCATGTATAGGTTGGCTTTATCGATCAGACTCCAATCGTAGCAGTAGCCGAAGTATAGTCCATCGTGAAGATGCTGCTGCTGCCAGGTGTCGCCGTGCGCCATTAATCAGACACATCTGCCGCCGGCAGAGGCTCTCCGATGCCATCAAGTGAGGAAAACGAACGAGCCATCTCATGATCTCCCGGGCCGAGACTGGCCGCGACGCCGACAAAGACAACTCGGGCTGCCATTGCATGTAAGCTGGTCAAGCCCAAGCGTTGGGCACGACGGTGCCGCACCGCGGACTGGACTGGACTGGTCCTGACTTGGTGAAGGACGACTCGCAGTGCCACAGCCTCTATCCGTAAAAACGCAGCAGAGTCAAAGAGGCAATCGCCCTCTCACGGAAGCCAGGGGTAGGTCGCCATAGCCTTCCAGTTGGGTTAGAGAGCTTGGAGGGGTTGAGATGAGGACGGGGTGTCACGGATCTCAGCTGGGTTCGTGGCATGGAACCATCGGATCCGACGAGGACCCTTGCCTGTGACCGGACCGCCGCCGTGTGTGCGAGATGTTGCCAAGGAAACTTGGATGATTGACTGGGTTGGGTGAGAAACAGGACGAGCAGAAAACAGGTTGAGGCGATCATGGCCTGATCCAGTCTCGCCAGACTGATGCCACCAATATCACATCGCAGCAGTCCTGAGCATGTCAACACCAGTGCCGCCCTTCCAACCCCAGTTTGGAACCTTAAAGATAGCATCAAAACCCAAGCCGGCTGATCTACACCCGTGCATGCATCGGGCCATAGTAAGAACTTCCTCCATGTACACGATATCCACAGACAGGGGCAGGAAAAGGCCCATGGACCATGGACCATGCCGGGGCCGCCAGCCGGAAGCCGCGCGTCTGATGACCAGTCTCTGACAGCACTTTCAGCCCCCAAGACTTTGATTGGGGTCGCACAAGGAGGATCAGGAATGGACCCGTGAGGCATGCCATGACCAACCGACTGCCTCTTTCACCTTGTCTTGCTCGGTGTACTCATATCCAGGCTGTGTGTGGCCTGTAGCCTGTAGCCTCGCAGATTCATCTAACGCCGATGTCGTCGGTCGTTGCCACATGCTAGTTCCCGTGCGGTGAGATGCGATGCGATGCTAGCGAACTGACAGGGGAACAGACATGCTTGTTGACGTAAGGCAGGCGGGAAACGGCGCTCGTGTCGGAGAGCCAGCTGATTTCAAGGCTGTGAATAGTGGCGGATTTCGAGGCTGTCGAAATGGGCTGATGATACACCAACACCCCCCATGTAAGCCTTGTGCATAGCATGCCTGCTGTCGCTGTCCTTCTGACCTCTTGTCGGCTTAATGACGTTTCACAAAAGCACCGCAGCCATCTGGAGGTTGCCAGTGAATCGCGGGAAGTGCCGTATCCAGTCAGTACTGAATACTGTACTGTAGCAAGTCTCACGATCCATCACAGGTGTTGTGAGTCTGATCGCTCTGTAGTAAGATTGTAGGCTAGAGTCGACGTGGAAACTTTGGTTTAGCCTTTGTGGAAATACCAGCGGCAAATTCTTCTCGAGTCAATATCGCCTTTCGGTGCCAGGAACTTGACGAGAGTCTTGGGCCGCGCGAGTACTGACCTCTCGGTGGCAGTACATGCTCTACAACATAAGAGTTTTGCTCCAGGAGGGGATGTTAACTTACATACTTGCTGAAGTGGACTCGAGCAGCGAAAACCGGGGATTCGTGGCAGGTTAGACGAATTAACCTTAACTTCCGAGTTGAAGTAAGAGAAGCTAGGTATTGAGCCGTCCTAAGATGTATGCTTCTTGCTGGTTTCTGGGAGTTGCATAGCCAACAACGGGCTATGCACGATTGCAACTCTCCAAGCGCGTCGCCTGCTAGGCCTAGTTCGATCTGCATCTTCTGATTACACAGCAATTCCTCAGCTTGTCAGGCAACGTCGCTGCGTTGGATCGTTGAACCAGGATCACCAAGATCGAGTCAGGTGACAGACATGAACCAGAGTCGCCCTTGGATTGTCAATGGCTCAACGTCGTGCGCTTGAACAAAAGAGGCCCGGACGTTTGTAGCCAGGGACGCCTCTAAAGTCATGCTGACATGCTCGGTGGCGTCAACACTCTCCTCCATGCTTTCGAGCCGCAGCCGGGAAGCGGGAGTCTGATCTAGACCTTCCACTATCACACTCCGGTACCGCCGCAATGCCGCAGGCCGCGGCGCGGTATGTTTTAGCCCAACCCCAACTCTGGTGAGACGCGCTTGTTGAGCGGGGTGAACGGCTAGAGACTCGAAAAAAAGGCCATGCCTCCCTCTCGGTGCACATGGCAGTCTAGGTTTCACGATGTCAATTGGACTTTGAGGACATCAATTGACCTCGGATCAAAGTAATCCAGTTCTTGGAATGACGAAGAAGCAGACTTGCCCTGAATTTCGTGTCAGTTGACTCCTTCATGAAAACAGGACTGCCGTGTGAGCTTCAACAACAGCGGCAGGATGGGTATTACTGCTCTCTTCCCCAAGTAACGTCGTCCATTGATCTCGTCTTTCATGGTTGGATAACTCCACGACAAGGACCCCTTTTTTCTCTCGAGTTGATCAGATGGGCCGTGTGCTTTTGCGAACCTAAATTCGGCCATTGTTATTAGCGTTGCATATGAGGGGTCTCATGACCATCTGCATTCCACAAAGTCCACCCACTTAGGACTACTTTCGCCCACCATCTTGATGGCTCCCCTCATCTCGTCGCCAGCTTCCGCGACTGGTAGCCAGTGAGTGGTCTGCAGCCGCCCATGGGCCCTGTGGTCAGCGGTGTTCGCGACGGGGGACGGTGCCAGGGGCTTTGGTGGCCTCTGGGCTTTTCCCTCGTTCCTTGTTAGCCTCCAGATGCATCGGAGAGGATGAGATGGGCGTGATGGGATGGAGACGATCGCTCAGATGCTGGCCATCTACCGTGGCCGCATCGGCTTTTGGGTCAACAGGCTGTCAGGCGTCGCCGAAACGGGATGCCCGTCTATCACCAATCGCCATTTCCGACAGCTCCCGTCGTCTCTCGTGGCCTCAAGCACATGCTCATGCTCGTGGCAGACCCAACCCAAGAAGCAATGGCCATGCATATTTCGCAAAATGACGTCCTCACCATGACGTCGGGCCCATCCATTGGCCACAGCCTGATCACCATTGGCGTTGACACTACTTACCCTGTGTCCACCTTGACCACCACTTTGATCACGCCCCTCGACACCACCAACCACCATCCAACCACCAACCGCTGACGACTCTAGGGCTTTTTAAAAGGGAAGAGCACTTGCCCACTGATGTGAGACTGAACCAAAAATATCCGAGTCGCAGGTTGACAGGCCAAGAGCCTCTAGGTGAGATTTGTTGGGTTGGTCCAGTGGTTTGATAATCCAGTCTTGACGGGAATCAGGCCGTTAAGCTTGACGGTCTCTCGCAGGGACGGTGCCCGGGCTCAACACCCAAATTCGGGATCATGTTTTGTGGAGGCATAATTAGGGCACAACAATTGCAAGTGAAGTGTCTCGTACCGGCGCGTTGGACTCCTGATTCCTGGATCTCGAGTTCCAGAGCTTCAGACGTCAGGGATCCACCCAGCCTCACCGTGCCACGGCCCCGCAGGTGCATGTGCTCTGTGCAAAGCGTCGTCCATCGTCATCTCGACTTCTGCATCAGGTGGGAACCCAACCGGCGGAGGAACCCAGTCCTCTCGGACCAGTCTGGCCGGCAGGGGAGGGCAGGGGCGGCTGTCGACTCTTACCGGTTGAGGGCCGACAGCCCCTGTCATCAACGTTGCTTTTGATCGATAGACGCTGGCAACGCTGGGAATGGGTGAAGATCCAATCCCTGCGCATGCGTCACGGTTGTAGCGACCCGGGCTGCCAGCGAGCGAATATGCTTCGGCAATTAAATGTCTCGATCTCAAAAACGGTAGCTTGTTGGGGGTCCTGGGCGTCGACTTCATCAAATGGGAAGGTCTGGACCGTCCTGCACTGGTCTGGTCGCACATGGATGAAGAGACAGGCTGAGGCGATGCGAGATGAGACGAAACGGGGAGAGGTAAGGAGAGGTGAGATAAAGTGAGGTGAGGTGACGTGACCTTGGGGTGGTTGTTGACGCATTGAACATTGGTCGGGCCACATTTGGGATATCATGTGAACTTCTTTGCTTGCTGGTTGGTGTTGGGATCCAATATCAAGAAACCGCCCTCCAAACTGTGGGTGAGAAGGCATGAAACTGCCGCGTATGAAGAGGGGGTGAAAGGCCTATGATTGGCCTCGACAACCTTAAACATGACAACCGACAGCTCTCCTCAGAGTCTTGCATGTTCCTACTGTATAATCCGCTCCCGCTGTCCAGGTCAGCATCTTTTTGAGTCGCGAAATGTGGCTCCTTCGGGATCCTTTCACACCGGTGCCAACAGCGGGTCAGTGCTCCATTGCCGAATCCACCAGGGACCCAGAAATGGCACAAGCGTCCTACTGGCGAGAACGGCTGGGAATCGGGCCCAGCAGGCGAGAAGCTCTAAAATGGGTGTCACCTCTCTCGATGAGTGGATTTGTAGATCTCGTGTGTCTTGGCCGTCGGCGAGGAGGCCCAGCCTTGAGGCTGGATACCCTTGCCTGTTGCCACGGCCTGCAAAGAGGCGTGCCAGCCCGGTGGGATCGGTCTGTTGATGGCAACTAGTTGGTTGGTGAAGGGGTTGATGGAGCGGAGGTCAGCTAACACCGAACACCTTCTAGGGCCGTGTATTCCATCAAGCTTTTAGCCCTCCTAGGTCGATCCGCCGCAGGTCGACTCTCTATGCAGCATAGACTGACGGGATGGTCAGTTGCTGACCAAAACGATTGCCGCTGTTGGGAGATCCAGGAACCGGTGGTTGTTGGTGTAATTCAGGATTGGTAGATTTGGATGAGATGCGGCGGATGTGCGCGGTTCCCGTTCCGCCTCACGACTCGGGCTGGGCCATGCGACGTCGTACCTGCCTTGCAGCTCGTACTGTAAGGTAGCCCGTGCCTGCCTTTCCTGCCTGTCTGCCTGACCTCTCTGGAAGTTACAACCTGAAAAGGTATTCCAAGTCCATGATTTGAGGCATGACTCCGAGGGGCCCCTGAGGACGTGCTTGCCTCACTGTTACAGCTGTGCCTTTCACGGATACACCCATGAGGCTTATTATTGGATATTCCCAGTCGCCAAGTGCAAGGGTCGAATGGGTTCCTTGTGGTTCATTCAAGGTTGAGGCGAGTCATCTGAAATTGGATCCAATATCTGTCCGTAGAAGGGTTGGCAAGCAAGGACACGACTCCCTGTCCGGTTCCATTCATACCCAGAGCCAGAGGTACCTGGCTCCGCTGCAGAGGCAGAGAGGACAGACGTCTCGCCTGTTCGCCTGCCGGGTTTTAGCGCGGTGCCCGTCTCAAAATGAGCACATGAGCAAGCCCAATCCTGCGGGTCCTCCTTGAATGGGCGCTGGATGCTCACAAGACGTCGATTTCATTGTCTTTGGGTTACCATGGACGGCAACACCCCCGTTGTTCGAATTGTCCGTGACCTTATAAACACAAGATTTCCTAGTCGTCGCTGATTCACCGTGTTAACTTCCTTGATGGAAATCTAATAGTAAAAGTGAGTAACTGAAGTTTTCTGTATATCACGAAGCTGCCAATGAAGCTGTCTCTATTTCCCTTCCCCCGCTATCCCGCTCAGCGCAACTGGGTGAGCAGCTGCTCTGCCTACCGTCGCCACGAAATGTTCGGATTTCCCAATCACACATTTCTGCCTTTTCAAACAATTCGCATCCTCGCTCTCGCCGTGTTCCTGTCGTTGAATCAGAGACATGCCTAGATGGCGCTGAGACAAAAAAGAAAAAGTGAAGCTCGTGTTGCCTGTCTCTCCTGCGTTGATTTAACCCCTCACCAACAAAGATCGATCCATCCCCCTCCCTCCTCCCCCAAGCATTTCGCATCTCGCTCAACGCAAAAGCCCAGCGCCCAGCCCAAGCTAACAGGAAGCGTTCTTTTTCTGCTGCGTCTAGGTGCTCGTTGACGTCTGCCCATGCCGTCACTCTGTGTCGACTAGGCAGAAAAGTGCCCCGCATCGCCGTCCCCGTGCTCCTCTCTGCAGGACCACTCGCAGGTCAAGGCCCAGGTACACAGCTCCAGAGTACCGCCCAGCAACGCTGTTTTTGGGTGTCATCCCAGGTTCCTCCTGCCTGTCCTCGGCCAGGTTCCCAGGTTCACAGAGGCTAGCCAGGTCCCGCAGCAGCCTCTCGTCTCTTAGCCCAAGGCCCTCAAGGCCAAGCCCAATTCAGAACAGCTTCCCAGCCCAGCAGAGCTCAGCGCCCAGTCCGAACCAACGGCCCAGTCCAGCCCAGCTCAGCTCATTCCACCAGACGTCGAGCATTCCTCCTCTGCCATCACCTTCGATTGACCTTCACTCACTGTCTCTGGTTTGTCTCCCGGACTTCCAGACTCCGCCCGGCCTAGGTTTCCGTTCCAGGGCGCTATCACATCGCATCGCATCGCGTCCGTCGCCCCGTCTCCCGCCTCCGTACCTGGCCTGTCTGTCTGCCGCACCCTCCCGTGCCTCGACGCCGACATCTGCAAAACCACCATCCTCCAACGGACTCGATACATCTGGAAAACGAGAGCCTCACCGTGCCCAAGTTTCCCCATCCTGCCAACCAGCCAGCTAGCCACCTACGGAATTAGACACGTTCTGTTGTGCCCCTGCTGCCCGCTGCACACCACAGCCGCCGCCGCCGACAGCACCCGTACTGTACCGCCGCACCGCACCGTACGCACAGGAACACATCCCCAGCAGCAACCACCCTGCCTTGCGTCAAGCCGTCCTGATTACCTACGTCTCTACGTTCCTCGTCAACAGAGAAACCCCCTTGTCGTTTCTCCCGTCAGCCTGGGACCCGAATCTTTTCACGATCGTTCGTGCTAGCCGCCGTGACTAGACCGGAGACCACCACCGCGACTACCACCACCAACACCACACCTACCATCGTCATCATTGCTTGCATCGCCTGTAGTAAGTCGACGTCTCTTTTTCCATGACAACTACTTCACCCGCCCTACGTATGCATTTATTCCTGTTTTATTTCCTTCCGTTTGTATCTCGACCTCGGACTTTGTTCTCCCCCCCGTTTGTCTTCTCCGTAACGCCTTGTTTTCTCCCGCTTCCTCGCCTGGCCGGCCTTAAGCAGCATTCTGTCGATGGGCTGTCACGAGCGTGCTCCATCCAGCACCCCGCCCCTCCAGACCCGCCTGGTGCCAGCCTCCATCCATGCCCATTCCACGACACACTCCCTAGAGCACTCCCCTAGAGCTTAGAGCACACGCCTGGTGGTCGCCTTTCCATCACCCTGCCCTGTCCACTGCCCGAGAGCTTGCTGCCCGTCATCTTGTTCAACTGCTGTTGGATGGAGGGCCTGTCCATCAAAATCGGGACACGGATTTCCAGCCTCTCAGTGTTGGCAACGACGGTGGCTCCCTCTCCGTCTTTCACTGCATGTGCCTGGCATCGACATCGACAACCCTCCTAGCTCAGGCACAGCAGAAGCGCGAGCGACGAGGAGAACAAGAAAAAAAAAACTCATGCCGCTTGATGCATGCAGTGGCATAGCGCATCCTGCCACACACACGCACACATTCACATCCCTCTTTCACTCTCTACCTACCTACCTGCCTCCCTCCGCCTTGCCTTGTCTCCTTCTCAGGCTCACTCACACATTGACTGGGCTGGTCCCCGCGCTCAGTCATCCATCGTCCTTGGAGACCTGACCCAACCCGGCCTGGCCGTTGTCCCTCACCTTCGTCGCCACCTCTGCCTCTGCCTCTCCCGTTTTAGTACCTCAATCCATCCTAGAGCCCCGTCCCCGACATCCTCTCTTCCTCATTACCGGTAGCTTTTTATACCCCGTCCCTTGCCCACTTTCCTCGCGCCCACCGTTCCCTTCCCTCCCCTCCCTTCCCCTCCGCCCCGCCCCCCCTCCAGCCTGTCCCGTGCCACCAAAACACCACCGATTCTCCCCCTCGATTTTCTCTTTGTTTCCCCAGATACCCTTGGCTTTGCCATTTTCGTGCGCATCGTCCTTGTCTCCGTCGTGCACTCACCAACAAGTCTAGTCCGTTCCAGACAGCCGACAAGCCCCCTCGTCAGCTAGAGACCCCGTCGGTTGGTTTGCTTGACGTTGCAGAAATAATCCACGAGTCGCTCGTCCGCGCCCGTGCCGATACCTCGACCGAGACATTACTCGCCCATCGCCTTTCAGCTGTCCTCCACCGGCAGCCACTGTCTTGTCTGCGAGTCTAGCTTCGCACTTGACTAGAGACCTTTGCTCCCAGCGTCAATTCAACCAAGCTCTGGTGCTGGATCGTCGTTTTCCCCCGCTACGGCCTCTGTTCGGAATCTTTGCATCAATTCTCCTCATTTATTGAGATCTACAGGCGCTGTTGCCTTTGCTTCGCTCACCCACGCGCCTTGATTTGGACAAACGACGCCGAAAATGTCGGCTCATCGGCCAAACGCCTTCAATAGCCTGCGGATGGGAGGTTAGTTTTGCAATCATGCTTCATATCCTCCCCGTTCGACTTTGTCATGATGGGTTTGGCTTCGACGCTGACACAATTGCAGAGGTTATCCGTGAAAAGGTTCAAGATGGAGTGACCGGCGAGACCCGAGACCTGCAGTATACCCAGTGCAAAATTGTCGGAAATGGTTCCTTCGGCGTGGTTTTCCAGACCAAGCTGTCTCCATCGGGAGAGGATGCTGCCATCAAGCGTGTTCTTCAGGATAAGAGGTTCAAGGTACATGATGCCGACATTTGGCACGTTGAGCTATTGGCTGATTTATTTCTCAGAACCGTGAGCTCCAGATTATGCGCATTGTCCGTCACCCCAACATCGTCCAGCTCAAGGCCTTCTACTACTCCAACGGTGAACGTGTACGCATACCTGATCATCCCCTTCTTCGCCCCTCCCCCCCGTCTAATTCCCTCACAGAAAGACGAGGTCTACCTCAACCTGGTTCAAGAGTTCGTGCCCGAGACCGTCTACCGAGCCTCTCGATTTTTCAACAAGATGAAGACCACCATGCCTATCCTCGAGGTGAAGCTGTACATTTACCAGCTGTTCAGAGCTCTGGCGTACATCCACTCCCAGGGTATCTGCCACCGAGACATCAAGCCCCAGAACCTTCTCCTAGACCCCAACAGCGGAATCCTCAAGCTCTGCGATTTTGGAAGTGCAAAGATCCTAGTTGAGAACGAGCCAAATGTTTCATACATCTGCTCCCGATATTACCGCGCGCCCGAACTGATCTTCGGTGCAACTAACTATACCACAAAGATTGGTACGATTCTGAACAAATTTTGTTAGATGGTTCGATTCGCTGACCTGAGTTGATAGATGTGTGGTCGACAGGCTGCGTCATGGCCGAGCTTATGCTTGGTCAGCCTCTTTTCCCCGGCGAGTCGGGCATCGACCAGCTTGTTGAAATTATCAAGGTCCTGGGCACACCTACCCGAGAACAGATTCGGACCATGAACCCCAACTACATGGAGCACAAGTTCCCCCAAATCAAGCCTCACCCGTTCAACAAGGTCTTCCGAAAGGCGGACGCCAATGCTATCGACCTCATCGCCCGCCTGCTGGAGTACACGCCAACTGAGCGACAATCGGCAATCGACGCCATGGTTCACCCCTTCTTCGATGAGCTGCGAGATCCCAACACCAAGCTGCCCGACTCACGACACGGTACTGGTCAGCTCCGCGAGCTCCCCGCCCTCTTCGACTTCACCCGCCACGGTAAGAGCAGACAAAGTGTCATGATGAAAAACATATGAGCTGACCCACTTGTAGAACTCTCCATCGCCCCTAGCCTGAACCACAAGCTGGTCCCCTCACACATCCAATCCGTGTTGGCATCTCAAGGTCTCGACATCGACAACTTCACGCCGTTGACGAAGCAAGAGATGATGGCCAAGCTCGACTGAGATGGCTCCGCGCCGAGGTGAGGGGTAGTCGGCATACATGTATGCTGCACCCTTCTCAGGCTCTCCGCGGCTCTGGAAGAGACCTGCCTCGTCCACTCCCAGTACCGAGCTGAGCGAGAGTGGTTGGGAGCATGGCCCAGGCAAAGACCGGGTCAGGAGGCGAGCAGGCACTATATAGTCCCGAGGTTGCCAGCGTCGGTCCTTGACACAAGCAAGGCACGGCATGCTGGCCGCCGAGGGCCAGACGAGAAGGCTTGCGTGTTCTGGGGAGCGTTGGAGTCTTTCCCGGCAGGGAGGGGATTGGGCGTTTTGTGTGCCCCCTTACGAACCCGCTTTCGGATTTGCCGTGAGGCTAGTCACCAAGAAGGAAAGGAGGACCCCATTCCATTGATGATGCATATCGCAGGGAATCACGTTTTTAGACCACGTTTCGATGCATGACAGATGATGGCTGGTGCTCTTTTTTTTCATTGTACGCGTCTCACGGGATGAACCCAATGCTGCGGCTATGTCTATGGTTGGCTTTGGGAATGGCGGGGATAACATTTGTTGAATTCTTTTTTCTGGTACCGCGTTCTGGCACTGCCATGCATGGTTGTTTTGGAGGGTTCCTTTTCGAAAAAACCCCGAGGCGAGGCTCGCTGGAGGCGCTGGAGTGAAGTTAAAAGGCTCGGCCTGGTTTGGCCCGCGGAGGACAAGGCCCGGCACACGAAGATGTTCCAGATGCCGCGACGAAGTTATCAATTGAAGTGAAGCTGGCCGTTGACGGTCTTGTGGCATACTACTCTCGCTTTCTCGAAGACGTGGGCATTGTGTTTTGGCATGTTGTTGTTGTTGTTGTTGTTGTTGTTGTTGTTGTTGTTGTTGTTTGCTTGGTTGTCATGGACGGTCCAAGACGATAAAAAAGAAGACAGGACTGGCAATTTTGATATGCTGTGATGCAAAAGGACATTGAAGCGCAGTAGGAGGGAGGTCTGAGTATGGAAGAGTGGCGTGGGCACAAAAGAAGTAACTGGAGCTTATGAATCTAGACCTAAATGCGCAAGTTTATTAACTTCTATTGGTTGTGGAGGTTGAATTTGGCCGAGTCTTGGTGAATGGCTGTTTGTCAATTAGACAATGAATGGATGAAACCTCATGATTTCATCAATTGTTTGATCTCGATAGGTACCCTAGCTCCGGTTGTCTATTTCCTTTAAGACTCTCAGGTGAGGTGAGTGCCTCAGGCATCAATCAATATGCAGGTGCTAGCCTCGTGGCACCTGGAACGCGCCCCAATTCCACTAGCTCAACCAACCAAACATTTGCTACAGGCACCTTTACCTTTTCCCGAGCTTTTAGCAGTGACGCAGCCTCGCCTTCGAAACCTCTAACTTTCATCCACCACGGGAGATTCGTCTCAGCAAGTCATTGGTTTGGCAACACCGAGTTCTTGCATCATCCACATTCGAGAGCGCATCATGGCCGACTATGACAGGAGATCTGGCGGACACCACAACCGCAAAAGAAGATATCGAGGTGAGCTTCAATTCTAGTCTAGCTGGATCTCTGTCGCGTCTTGTTGATGGGCTAACACGGGACTCTTCTGCTAGACGATGACGACCACTACGATCGCCGCCAGCAGCGCAGGCGTATAGACTCGGCGCCTTTGCCTGTGCGCGTTCGCAGACAGCTTCTGGGCATCGCAGACTCCCCCCTGCGCCGATGGGCAGAGGAGGTGCAATCCATCGCTCACATGGTGGCCGACAACCACGATGACGAAAACCTTCGCAACATGTTTCTCGACCTGGTCGTCCAGCTTCTACTCGAGCAACCCCTCAAGACCCCCTTCGTTGCCGCCGTTGTCCTCATCATCAACACCCTGAAATCCGAGTTTGTAGACGACGTCCTTGCTCGTCTGGCGCAGGTGACCCAGGACAAGATCGCAGAGGGCGCGTGGCGGGATGTGAAGCTCCTTCTCAAGTTTTTGGCCTGCCTACAATCTTTGCTGGAAGGCGACGGCGTCTTTCCGCTTTTGGAGGAGCTCTTCAGCCGAGCTGCTGATCTCCAGACGGCCAGCTCAGATGATGTGAGTTGCGTGGAAGCCAACACTGGATCGCGTATACTGACCTGATATGACTAGACCATCGGGACCGAGATTGTTAAGATCATACTTCTCACCATTCCTTACATCATGGTGTCGGCTCCCGGTCAGTTCCAAACTAAGGCTGCAGAACTGATGGAGAAGACCGACATTATTGCTTCCGAGCCCCATGCGCTTCAAGCCCTCGTCGATCCCTACCATGCCCAAGGTAAAAAAGCGAGTCCTGGAGCGTCGTTGAGTGTGTGCATGCTGCTACAGAAGCAGCTGCAGACTGAGGCGGGCAAGAACTGGGAGCTGGCATGTCTGCCCCGGCCGTGGCAGATGCCCTTGGAGGATATCGAAGCCCAGGACAAGCTGGCGAATGCGCCCAAGCACGCCCTCCCTTCCATTTCCATCCCCGAAACCGTCATCGCGGGACCTCGGCCACTGTTCCCCGAGATCTACTTTTCCGTCTACTCCGACCAGGACGTGCTATCTGTCCCTGATGTTACCGACATTGCGGCATCCCTGATTAGGGACGGTCTCCTCGATACTATCAACATTCTCGACTTCAACCGAAATGTGACAGCTCGCTATCTGATGGACCTGGACTGCTACTTTGCTGAAGGCACCTTTGTCAAGCGCGCGACGCCGTTTGACGAGTTGAGGAACATTGCCCCAGGCAAGTCTACATGGAAGCCTGAGGATGTCGCTGTGGACACAGTCTTTTCCCAGCTGTTCCAGCTGCCAACGCCAGAACGAAAGCTCGTCTACTACCACTCAGTCCTTACCGAGGCTTGTAAACTTGCACCAGCAGCCATTGCGCCCAGCCTGGGTAGAGCCATAAGATATCTCTACAAGAATAGCCCGCGCATGGACCTGGAGTTGAGCTACCGATTCCTGGATTGGTTCTCTCACCATCTCAGCAACTTTGGCTTCACCTGGAAGTGGGCAGAGTGGGCAGAGGATACCGATCTGCCCGACTATCACCCCAGCAAGTGGTTCCTCAAGGGAGCTCTGGACAAGGAGGTGAGACTGAGCTTCGCCCAGCGAATCCAGAAGACACTGCCAGAACCCTACCTCCCCCTTGTTGGGCCTGAGAAGGAGAAGGATGTCCCAGATTTCAAGTTCAGCAACCCAGGTTAGTCTTCTAGCGTGATCTGCCATAACTCCCCGAGTAATGGTAACTAACAGTTGGCAGAAACCCCATTCGCAAAGGAGGGTCAGGAGATTGGTGCGCTCCTGCGGCGCAAGGCCCCCGACGAGGACTTCCAGCCCATCATCGATAGCATCCAGTCACAGGCCACAGAGCGGGCGCTGGATCCCTTGGTCGCAAGCGTGGATGTATTTGTTACAGCTGTCTGCTGGGTTGGCTCCAAGTCACTGAGCCACGTGCTCGCCTGCATTGACAGGACAAAGGGTCGACTTCTGGAAGCTGGCAACGCCTCCGAGGCGGCGCGGGCTCAGATCATCTCTGCGGTAATGGCTTACTGGCACGCTCACCCAGGAATTGCTCTCTCTATCATCGAGAAGCTCCTCAACTACTCCATCCTCACCCCCTTTACCGTTGTCGACTGGGCTCTTGGTGCCAGTACACCATCCAACGGCACAAACGGCGGCGATGCCCTCGTCCAGCCTCACATCTTCGAGCTCGTCTCCAACACCATTTCCAAGGTCACAAGCCGCGCCCGACAGATTCTCGTCTCTCCTGAAACCGACGAGGAGACGCGGTCCAAGGAGGCCAAGACGACGCAGGATCTTTTCCGCGCTATGAACGACGCGCTTGTCAGCTGGGCCGGTGGTAGCAAGGACGAGCTGATGGAGGAGGGCGATGGGTCGAGTGATCGCGAGACCATGATCCGTCGGTGGGGACAGCGGTGGCTGCGCGTGTTCAAGCGGATGGGTGCCATCGAGGAGGCGTTTGCTCTGGAGGCTGGTAAGACTGCCGCCAGTAAGAAGGACAAGATGGTGACGGATGAGGCGGAGAACTAGAGGGTTCAACTCCAGGGATTCGGAGCCAGGCCTTAGTGAGGGGTTCCGGAACGTGTACAAGTAAAAGAGGATGAAAAGCAGGGGATTTCTGTAATTCGCCCGAGGGTTATCTGGGTAGGTAGGGAACTGCGTTTTTAACGCTGAGATGGTAATCAAAGATTTGAATGTTTCTGAACGGAACGTAAAATGACCTGAGCTGAGCTGTGCTCTCGAGAGACGATGCCCAAAACTAGATCTTGTTCATTTGTCAATATTTAAATAAACAAGGACACTTGAATATGAGATATAGAAGAGTAAGAAGTTGCAGCATGGAATGTTGGCTACACTATTTCGGGTTGCTCGTACAATTCAGGGGTCAAGCAAAACGCCATCAGTGCGAATTGACATGTCCCAATCTTGACTGGCATTCCTACGTAACTCGTAGTAATAGTACTTGCATGTCATTCGACCTTACACATCACGGCATCCAAGAGACGACTCGGTCCATGTGTCGCCAACGCCATGTATCTATAAATTGCCAAAACAATCTCCACCCCCGCAGACGCCAAAACAAAATCCAGGGTATCATTTTCATCCTCACCGCCGCATGAAGAAGCCAAACACAAAGCGAAGACATCGTGAAAGCCAGGGTAGATCTGCCAGAGAGAGGGAGAGGTCCCCCGAGGGTTCATCATACAAGGAGGTTACGCTTGATGCGCTGGGGGAGAGCGACTCCGTCGACAGCGAGTTGCTGAGCAGCCTGAGACTTCTCACCCAGCTTTTTGAGCTTCTCCATAAGATGACTATTATTGCAATGTTAGCCTTGCGATCTTGTCTGAGACGGGATGGGGACGTCTCCGGAACCGGCTGACAAGGGACTTGAAGTTGCCAGTTGTCGGGACGGTAGGCTCTGATGGGTTATTGGGAGATGGTGATGGCGGCTGAGGTTGGTAGTGGGTAACAATAGCTGAAGTGGTGGTGGTAGTGAATGTAGAGGAGGTGGTAGCTGTTGTAGTGGTAGTGGTGGTGGCAGTAGGAGGAGTGTTGGTAGCTGGTGGTGGGGGAGGGAACTCAACGAGTATAAGAAAAGGGGGAAAGTAAGCATACTTGATGGGTAGATGACCTCGAGTGCCCTCTGTCACGGCTAGGCTGACACGATCCATTTGATTCTCGTGCTGTTCGAAGTGTCTTTGTATGCGTTGTTGACATTCTTGCACGTCGCCGCCACGGACGACGTAGCCGCAGTCCTCTTCCTCGCAGACCCATGTTTCGTTGGGACCATGCGGGGTGGCTGAAGGAATCTTGTCGGCTCGGATAACGATCTTGATGGGTTCCTGAGAGCCATCACGAGGCACTTCGTCCTCGGATGAGCTGGCCTGGGCATCGACTTCCATATCCTCATCTCCATCTGAAAAGTAATGGGACCTCTTTGGTCGCGACTCATCGTCCTCCGACTCGCTGTCTACATCAGAGTGCAGCCGCTTCTTGGATCCAGTCGTCAGACGAAGACTGGACTTCTTGCCAGAAGGGCGACCTGGTCTCCTGAGACTCTTTCCTGCCGGGGAGGATCGCGGAGTGCTGGAAAGATCGTCTTCTAGGCCTGAAGTGACAACCCCTTGTGCTTCAGAGAGGGGTTGCGTAGCTTTGCTAGGACGAGGACGACTGCCTCGAGGTACAAGGCGGTAGGGCAAATCGGAAGGCTTCAAAGCGACGGGCACAAACGGCCTTTCAGCCGCCCCCTGTAGCCAAGAATAGAACTCGTGACCACTATACTTATCCTTGTCGAGGACCTGGAGGAGTGCTTGGGCATTGTAATGCAGGAGCTCTTCAACCGGAATCTTGTGACATCCGCTCTCCCCGTTCTTGAAGGTGGGAAACTTGTACGAGAAGAACAGTTTGTTGAGAGTGGACGGCATTATCATTCCCTTTCTGTTCTTGCCGATCTGGTCGTACACCCACTCGACGCCATTCACAACAGTCTGAAACGGTGTTATGTCGTCGTTACTGACTGGTCCTCCCACCTCGCTGCTCGCTGGGGCGACTGAAGGTGTGCGTGTCACCGATTGCACACTGGGAGGCTGTCTGATAGCAGGGGCACTTCTTTGTGGCTGGGATGGAGCTGGCAAGTCGACCGTACTGCTGGTCTCTCGCTGGGTGATTGAACGTGACCGGGTAGATCGGTTTCTCGGTGGACTATCTTGGACATCCATAAGCTCAGGCGTGGCATTGCTCCGGGCGACTGAGGGGGCTGAGGAGCCTGATCGAGTCCTTGAAGATAATAGTGATGGGGCAACTAATGCTGCAGCTGGTTTGGCCTCGACAGAAGGTGATCGTGCAATGGGAGGCGGGTTCTTTAGGCGCTCTTCTGCCTTTTCCACGAGTTCCTAGAGAAGTCAGCCAAAGACACAGACTTGTGATAGTTCATGGCTGCCTTACTGGATACTTGGTAACCAACCACTGGTAGAAAGGGTTGCTACCCCATTCGAATACATCGGGTTCTTCCTGCATGCACTGTGATATCAAGAACGATGCGTGCTCGTCGCACCGCTCAATGACTTCTTCAAGGGTTGAGCCATCGCCGATCAGGGTCGCATACTAAAAAACGTCAGTGGAGGTACAAAGGGATCGTGTGGGAGAGCCGAACCTCGTGAAAGACAGAGTGAAGCTCCTTCAATTGATCCTTCTTCCCCTTCTTTGCCTTTTTTGGTTTCTTTTCCTTGTAGATGTCCATGATCCGGTAGTAAAGCGAGGCGGCCTCGCACATCTTGTCGTAGATGGGGGCGTAGGCAGGCGAGGGGTTGATCTCGTACCAAGCACATCTGCCCTCAACCCAGATGACGGGATTGCCCTCTCCAGCCTCTCCGATCGAGTATCTGTTGGATTTTGGAACCTGAATCGGCATCGAGTGTCGAACCCTCATGATCACTAGGCGGCAGGTCAGCTAACGATGTGATAACATGGGATGGGGCAAGACCAACGGTGCGTTTTCTGCTCAGGTTCGTCGATGATCAGAGTGCCGCGGATGATATAAGGACCTCGAGTGCCGACGTGAAGGGCATTTTCAAGAGTGTGGCCATCTTTGTTGAGTACCACGGCATCCTGAAGCTCAAAGACCGGCTCTGGGCCGTGTATCTTGTCCACTGGGGCGGTTCTGAGGACTGATGTCTCCTGACGCCAGAGGATGCGGTCCTCGTCGACCGTCTCGACACTGGACGTAGACGCCCGCCGAGGGCGTCCAACCATGATGACGATTGTTCTAAAGTTGAAAGAAGACCATCGACTAAGGAACACCCGGTTTGGTGTTGATCGTTGTGCGGTACGAGACGGAAAGTGGGTGATGGATCTCGGATTCGACTTCGGCGGCGTGCGAGAGGAGGAAGAGGGGTTCGGCGAAAGAATTGCGGGGTAGAGTTCGAAAAAGGTGAATTTCTAGAGCTCAGTCGACGTAATCGAGGCCGTTAACATGTAAACGCTGCAAGACAATGAAAGAAGTAAAAATGCGGGTTTGAAAGCAGAGCTCAATTGGGAGGTATAGAAACAGAAGAGGAACAAACGCGCTCGCGATGGTTGTCAGTGCAGACACACGGCAATGGCGGGGCAATGGCCACTAAACGCCCTGCAAACTCACAGGGATCGCTCACTGTTCAGGGTATATTTCCCCACTGAGACGCGCCCTTTAAGTGCCTGCGCGCCAATTAAAACTTCCTGATACAGCGCCAGGGGATAAGCTTTCAGTGGGGGATACTGCCGATAAGAGCAAATCGACGGCCCGCCATTTTTTTTTTCCTCTTGCGGTTCAGCAGCTCAAACCTTCAGCGCAAGGTGGACGGACTTGGGTCAAGTCTTTTTCTTCTCTTCTCTTCTCTCTCTCTCTCTCTTCCTCTTCATACTCTTTCCTCTTAGCGCTCGTATGCGAAGTCTCTCAAAAGCGTTCAAGATGGCTACGGACATTGTCCGGGAAGGCGTTCTCGGTATGTGCTCTTCTCATGTCTTGTCAGACAAGACTTGATGCGCGATCTGCTCCTCGACGACTTTGCTCAGCCATTAACCATGGTCGCTTCCTTACAGCCATCAACAAGCCTTGCGGTATCAGCTCGGCGCAAGTTATCCGCGAGTGCCAAAAGGTCTTCAATCCCTCAAAGTTCTTCAAGCCAATGATCGACGCCGAGATCGCCAAGCGCATGAACGAGTCCGGCCAGCAGTTCGCCCGTCGCAAGCATATCAAGAAGGCCTCACAGGTCAAGATGGGCCATGGAGGAACCCTCGATCCTCTCGCCACCGGCGTCCTCATTCTAGGCATTGGATCTGGCACCAAGGTTCTATCCCAGTTCCTCGAATGCACCAAGACATACGAGACCGTTATCCTCTTCGGCGCAAGCACCGACACCTACGATCGAGTCGGTCGCATCCTTACCAAGCGACCCTACGACCATATCACCCGCGAAAAGGTTGAGAAGGAGCTTGCGAGCATGAAGGGTCCCCTCACCCAGATCCCACCTCTGTACTCTGCGCTCAAGATGAATGGCAAGCCCCTGTACGAGTACGCGCGAGAAGGCAAGCCTATCCCCCGAGAGATTGAAGGCAGAGAGGTCGAGATCAAGGACATTGAGCTTCTCGAATGGTACGAACCTGGCAAGCACAGCCACCGATGGCCAACCGAGGAGGCCGAAGCCGCAGAGCGGAACCTGGCCGAGCAGGTCTGGAGGGTCAAGAAGCAGCAGGAGACCAACAAGAAGCTGAGCCCCGAGGAAAAGGAAGAAGACGACCAGGCGATAGCGGCGCATGAGTCTTTTAAGCGCAAGTTTGAGCAGCGACAGGACGAGCTTATTAAGGACGCCCCGAAAAAGCGAGCGAAAAACTCCAAGAACCCCCCAATGATGTCGGGCGCTCTGGGACAGCTACCACAGCCTATCTACAGCGAGAAAGGCACTCATCTGGTTCCTGACGCACCTGACGAGAACACTCCTCCTCCCTGGAGCGACGAGGGCCCTCCCGCCGCCAGAGTGCGATTGACAGTCACTTCCGGTTTCTACATTCGAAGCTTCTGTCACGACCTAGGCGCCAAGATGGACTCAGCCGCTCTCATGGCTGAACTGTGCCGGTCTCGACAGAGCGACTTTTCTATCGGCGGTGACAACTGTCTCGAGTTCGATGACCTTTCCAAGGGCGAGGAGGTTTGGGCTCCTCAAGTCGCCAGCATGTTGGAGCAATGGAGCAACGAGAACAAGGATAAGGCACCTGGCCCGTCTCCCGCTACCTCACAAAGACCTCAGAAGAGGAAGCATGAGTTTAAGAGCTCCAGCCCCGGTCCTGACTCTCCCAAGCACAAGCACCAAAAGCACCACCACAAGGACAAGGCAGAGAATCGACGACACTCCAAGTCCCCCGAACGATCCCGCTCATCCCCCAAGGCAGAAGCCACCGAGTCCAAAGATGATGCTAAGCAGGCCAACGAGCCCAAGCCCAGCAAAAAGGATGCCGAGCCTACGAAGGAAGAAGCCAAGCCTAACAACGGTACCAGATCTGACGATGAAAAGTCTTGGAATGGTATCGAAGATTGAGCGGTGGCAAGTGTCATTGAAGAGTGATGAAACGGGACTTTACGAGGAAGGGCAGGACTGAACTCTGCCCACCGGCGATGAGTACATTTGTGATGATTGATCTATATATAACGCGGTTGAATGATGGCCACATCAGGGGCTGGCCAACTATATCCAGTCACGGCCAGGGGCACCCATACCTTGGCGAAGGGGGTGCGTGTCAACTTGCATCCAGGGCGAGCGATGGATAGACCTAGAAGGTTCCGAAGCGGGCATGTATTGTCTTTTTGGCGTTGTAGGGTTTGAGGCCGAAAAAAGTCATAATTAAAGCTTTCATCTTGAATCTGCAATGAGGTGTGCTTGGTGAACCTGTCTAACATCTTCCATTCCATGCTTTTAAGAGACGGGAGTACACGCCCATATGGTATTACCGGTTCAGCTTAAATGTGATCTTTATGTATATTGATCTTGATATCGCTCATATGCAAGCCGTTTGATGAGCAGGCTATATCTGCCATGATGCTATCCAATTCATATGCTCATCACCAACTTTTAGTACGCACTTGTATGTATATATCACTAAACTACTGCCCACTCCTCTCTCCTACCAATCCTCCCAAATCCTCCCTTGCGCCGTGAATGTCCTCCACCCGGATACCGCTCCGGTCACACATTCCGCGGAAGATACCGCCCTTCTTCCATAGAGCCAGGGGCGTGTCCAGTTCAGCGATGCGGCCGGCATCCATGACGCAGATGCGGTCGTAGCCGATGATGGTACGCAGGCGATGGGCGATGCAGAGTAGTGTCTTGCCGTGGAAACCTGTCGCCATTGTAGCTTGGATCTTGTCGTCCGTCTCCATATCGACCGAGGATGTTGCTTCGTCGCATACGATGATCTGCGCGCCACGTACGAGAGCACGGGCGAGAGCCATGAGCTGGCGTTGTCCGAGCGAGAAGTTGAGACCGTCCTCTTCAACTGTTGTATCGAGGTGGATACGCGAGGGATCGTGGTTACGTCGACCTTCCTCGGGGGATGCGGCGTCGGCGGGGACGAGATCGGCTTGGCGAAGAGCGGACCAGAGTTCGAGGTCGGTGTGTTCATGGAAGGGATCGAGGTTGCTACGGACTGTTCCGCGGAATAGAGTTGGATCCTGTGGGATGATGGCGAGTCGAGAGCGCAGGTCGTGAAGACCGATTGTAGAGATGTCGAGGCCATCAATGGTGATCTTACCACCCGAGATCTCGACAAGTCGGAAGAGGGTACTCATGATGGAACTCTTACCAGCACCAGTCCTGCCGACGATGCCAATACGCTCGCCGCCCTGAACATGCATAGACAGTCCCGAGAGCACGAGAGGGAGACCAGCGCGGTACCGCATCTCGACATTGTCAAAGATGATCTCACCCTTTTCAGGCCACGACTTGCGGATCTCGACCGTGTGAAGAGGAGCCTCCTCCTCGAGCTCAGTGCCGTAGTAGTAGAGACGCTCCACGGCGTTCATGGCATTCTCGACTTCGGCGAGCTGACGGACAGAGAACTGCATCATGCCGACGATAGACAGGATGTAACTGAGGACAAGACCACCAGTGGAAGGGTTGATGGAGAATCGCGATGTGACGACGAGGATGGCAGTGACAAAGACCAGGAGAGTACCGATGAGATCGATTCGGATCGAGAGCCAGCGTTGGTTGGCGAAAGTGATGTAGTAAGCACCGTTCATGTCGTCGATAGACTGTCTCAACTCTCGGATGAAGCGATCCTGAAGCCCATAGGCCCTGATCGAGGCAACACCAGTGAGACCCTCGCCAAACTTGGCAAAGACATGAGATCTCAGGACAGACTCGTACCGCTTCACCTCACGGGCCGAGGCACGGTAGTAGACGGCAGCCAGGACGAACATGGTGTAGAGCGGTACAAGGGCGATGACAAAGTAGTAGTAGAAGGCGATGATGAGGATAAAGACGGACGTGATCATGCCCATGGTGAGGAAGAACATGCGGATAGCGTCTGAAAGGTTGTTGTCCATGACATCGACGTCACGCGAGAAGCGGTTCGTGATGCGGCCGAGGGGCGTCGTGTCGAAGAATGACATGGGAGCACGCAGGACTCGCGTCACGGCGATCCTGAGCATCACCTTACTGGACTTTGTGCCTAGGACAGACAACACGACGGAGAAGGCGAACATGAGGAGAGCCTGCGCGACACCAAGTGCGGCATAGATGGCGATGTACACTCCCGTTGACATGTCATACTTATCAGACGTCCAGTATGACAGCCACAGACTAGTCATGATGTTGGCGCCCTGGGAGAGGATGAGCAGGAAGACAACAAGAGGAGCGTTGAAAAAGGAGCCCGAAGCCTTGACGTAGGCACCGTAGACGGACCAAGGCACACTCGAGGTAGCCTTTTCCTCCTGCGTCATGAGCGCCCCGCCCTTCTTCTTCTTGCTCTTCTTCTCATCCTCAGTAGGTTGCTCCTGATCAGGCTTCTTAGCCTCCTCGCGTTTCTCCTCAATGGCTGTCGTCTCCATGAGGGCCTGGAATCCGCGATGCTCCTTCATGAGCGTTTCAAACGTGTCGACGGCTTGGATCTTGCCGTTCTCCATCCAGATGATGCGGTCGCACCGGCTGAGCACCCAGAGTTGATGGGTGGCGAGGATACGGCACTTGTCTTTGAGGAGACCGAGGATTGCGTTGTCAAAGATGTGGCGGCCGACGTGGGCGTCGACGGCGCTTAGGGGGTCGTCCATGAGGACGATGTCGGCGTCAAAGTAGATGGCTCGAGCGATGTTGAGACGTTGTTTCTGGCCTCCGGAAATGGTGATACCACGCTCGCCAATCTCAGTCTGATCTCCGTTAGGGAGCATATCCAGATCAGCCTGGAGGGCACAACTATCATTGAGGGTCAGCATATGGACATAGTAGAGTGACTTGGCGATTGACTTACGCTTGAATAACCTCGTTATACCAATCCTTGTTCAAAGGCTTTCCAAACACAATGTTGTTCTGAAGAGTCGTGTTCTGAATCCAAGCATACTGAGGACAAAATGCCCTCGAAGCACCAAAGGTCACATTACCCTCCGTCTTTCGCATGTCTCCAGCAAGGGCAGAGAGCAGCGAACTCTTGCCGCTGCCGACCGATCCAATAACAGCAATAAGCTCGTTTCGTTTCACGTCAAAGTTGAGATCGTGCAGCTTGAAGGGCTCTCGCTCCTCCACCAGTGTGCTTGCTGTGTCTTCGCCTGAGGAGTCTACCTGAGGAGTCTTGGCGTGGGTACCCTTCTTGTCTTTCTTGCCCTCCTTGCCCTCCTCTGATTCATTCGAGTGAGTCTTTTCCCAGGTGAATGATGCGCCTTCCAGTCGGATCGCATCATCGCCAGTTTTGTCGACCGTCATGTCCTCAAGCATTTCCTCTTGAAGCAAAAACTCCTGGATACGTTGCACAGATCCCCAAGCATCAACAACCTGACCAAGAACGAGGGGCAGCAAGTTGAGAGGAATTCGCAGAGAGTTGAACAATGCCAAACTGCTGAAAACCTCGGCGGGCGAGAGTCCGTGATGAGTCAAAGAGTAGGTGATGAAGGACAGCATGGAGGCAAAGATGGGTAGAGACATGCTCACGGCGTTGAGAGCATTTCGAATCGCGAGAAGAACCTGGATTGCGTAGATCTCCTTGTTCCTGAACTCGCCGAGGCGTTGAAGAAAGGCCTTTTCCCAACCAAAGTACTTGACGAAGCGGACTGACTGCAGGATCTCCTGTGTAAGCGAAACACGTTGATCGGTAATCTTGTTGATGGCCCGTCGACGGTGGAAGAGACTTCGGATCGCCTTTGTCAGGAAGGGCATGCCAATGACGAGCAGACCATAACCGGCCAGGGCGCTGTAGGTGATGTTGACAAGGAGAAGGGCGAGGGTGACGAGACACAAGATGGGGGAGGTCCATGTCATGTGGAACAGAGCAGAGGCCTGGTCGATTCGGTAGGTATCGACACTCTGCAAGGCAGTGATGCGACCGTTGCCCCAGCCTGTACCATCAGAAGCGTCTGGCTTCCCCTTCTTGGCCTTTTTAGGCTTCTTCTCATCCTGTCCCTTCTCCTCGTTCTTTGCCCCTGGAGCGTCACCCTGAAGAGCACCGCCAGCCTTGGCTCGTCCGGAAATGACCATTGACTTCTCATAGATGAGTCCGATCAAGACACCTCGCGCCTGGCCGCCGACTGTCATACCCCTGTAGATATAGTGGTTGGTTCCCAGACTCTGAGTGACTTGCATGAGAGTGATGCCAATAGCCAACCCGATACCTTTGCCAATATGAGGAGGTGGACCGCCGGTTTTGTTCGCTTCATACGCATCGGCCGCGAACTGAATGAGATACCGAAGCGTAAAGGGACTGATGACCTGGATAATGCTGGTATAGAGCGCACAGATGCCGCCGATCCAAAACTCAATCTTGAACGTCTCATGCATGGCCCAGAACAAAGGGTTCTTGTCACCCCTCTCAACTCTCTTCTGGAACGACTCCTTCATCTTGAGCGTCAGAGGCTCAACGGCCCGGTCCGGATTGACGGTCCAGATGTCGTTTTCCTCAAGGGGACGTCGATATCCGGCCTGTCTCAGGTCAGCTTTTCAGATGGTATCAGACGGGCCGCCCCGAACTCTGTGCTTTAGCGGCTGATCACGATGCGACATTGTCAAAGTAAAAAAAATTACTTACTGTCATTAGAGGTGCCATCCATTGAAAGGTCAACATGCTGAAAAACCCAGCCTGGTATTCTCTGCTTGTCATTCGCTCTGGGGGCACGGGAGGTAATGAGCCCCATCGAAGGGGATTCAAGTTCTTGTGCCATGGTTTCTTCTCGGGGGGTCCAGGTTGTGTTGTTGCGCGCGTAGCTGTTGTTGCTGCAGAAGCAGCGGTTCTAACCTCCCGAAGTTCAGGGCCTCTTGATTCATCCTTGCTGGAATCATCGATTCGCTTTTCTTCATCAATATCCTTCTCTTCATTCTTTCCGATGCGATCGTCATCAGAGTCGCCGGTCGGCTCAAGTTTCGTGGGTTGAAGAGCGGCAGCTTCAGCATCAGGTGCTTTGAGCTCCTTGTCCAGGGGGTCTGCCATATCCACGCAATACGAGAGTGACGACGACTATGCGTGAACAGATCAAAGGTGAACTGTTACTCCCCAGGCACGACACTTCCCACAGAGCAGCCCTTCTAATCGAGAAGAGTTACTTATATCCTGTCACTTAGACACTTGAAGGAATGGGCCATGAGCGATAGATGTGGGTCGATTTAGAAAGAAGTTATTATCCAAATCGTAGATTTAGTCGTCATATGGTATTAGCGACAGACAAGGGGCATGGAAATAAGACAGTGGTCCAACTGGCTCTGTGGATATGCCAAGGAATATGTGGGAGAGAGAAAGTCGAGGACCAGAAGAAGGATATGGAGAAACAAAAGAAGTCAACGACAAGGGGATTAGAACAAGTATAGTCGAAATGTCAAGTCGTCAAAAGGGGGGGGCGTGTGTGGGTGTGGGTAGAAACGAGGCGGATGCAACAATCCGCTGGTCAAAAGTGCGATGGAAGCGAATTCCGAGATGGATTACAAAGCGGACTGCGACCTGAGAGACGAGAGCGGGCTCAACAAAGACAAAGTCGGGATACGGCAATTGGCGAAGAGGCCTGATTCCGACGCCATTGGACGCGGAGATAAAGTCCAAAGGGCCGGGGTTGGGAGAGTCGGGATGTGGAGGAGGTCGATGACGGATGGATATGTTGAAGGTGGGATAGCGACTGGGATGATGAGTTTTGAGGTCTAGAACTCCAGAAACTATTCAGGAGATGACAATCAATGGATCAGAGAAATAAACAGAGGAGAAAGAGAAAAGAGACAGAGGAGACGAGCAAAGGTCATCAGGGCCTCATGCCAGACAAAACAACTACCAGCACCACCATCTCGGCTTTCGGACGACATCCTTGCCCAATGTACTATCCGCGTACAGCACAACTTGCAAAAGGTCAAGCAAATTTGCGGTTGGCGAAAACGAAAAAACTGGACTTGCAGCCTCCTCATTAGCCAGAACCGGTCGAAGGCTGTGTGGATCTGTCCCGAGAAGCTACCAGGGCCGGGGCACATCCTGGTTGCCCGTGTGTGTTAGCAGGCCACATGGGAATGAGGGTGTCATGCTTGGTCATGTTAAAGGATGCGGTTGTATCGCAGAAACAGGCAACAGGCAGGACGAAAGAGCTGTTGCTTGTCCCTCATGCGGGGGATCTGCTCTCGTCATCGAGGGCCTTGTCCATTCAGGATATCTCGGCTCGTCGGGGAGTGTGAATCGTCTCATCGCTTCCAATCCGCTTGGTAGGCAGACACTCGAACAGGGCTGAGAGCGGCGGGCCTGGTTCGAACTGAATGGTACCGAGGCCATGGCTTGCTCCTGGGGCCCAGGCAAGACATCTGCATTACCAACCCAGTCTCGACAGCGCCAAGCTCAGATGAGATTGAGTGGTGATTCAACATTGTACGGAGTAGGCAACTCTCTCACCGCGTCAACTAGCATCAATGCGAGCCAGGTGACTTCAACACGAGGTAACTCTCAGTAAACTCCATGACGAAAAGCCTCCGACACCCAACCACAAGCTCCGGCCCGCACGCGAGGGGAGAGAGCCTAGGCCAGGATCTAGGCGATCTGGGAGAAGAAATGGGTTTGGCGCGTCTGCGTCTCATGTGTTCGGCTCCGAATCGGCAGGATGAGAAATCCAATCGGACGGAGTTAGTCGGCAGGAATTAAGCACCGGTCGCCGGTCTCACGTGATACAAACGACCTCCACATTCCGGCCCCACATTTTCCCGCCGCACCGATGGTCCGCAAAGAACTTCTCAAGCTGCAAGGCTGAGGTCCAGGACCGTCATCAAATCCGCAAAATCGATCGGTACGCGCGCGCTGACGACGACCCCCCGCCGCTCAATAAGCAGAGCAAGTCGTCCGACACGGAGTCCGAGCTGCATTTCGCATTCGTACTGCAAAGCTCAGCTAAGCAGCAACAACATTGGTCGCAATGGCCCTCGACGAAGTTCCCCCGATTGCCATGCCAGGCAAAGTCCTAGGTCCGGTTACCAAGTTTGCGCCCGGCCCCGGCACACACGTCTACGAAGGAAATGTCGTCTCATCTTTGCTCGGAAAGGTCACCGTCATACAACCGGCCAAGGCAGCTGGTCCTGCCAAGCGACTGAACAAGATCACCGCCCCGACCACCGAAGAGCTTGCGACCGTCTCCGTGTCCCGCCACGGCCGTAAGCGCGAGGTCCTTCCCGATGTCGACAACATTGTACTCGCCCGTGTTCTGCGACTTATGCCCAAGCAGGCCATCGTGGTTATCCAGCAGGTCGGCGATACGGTGCTAGAGACTGAGTGGCAGGGTGTTATCCGAGTGCAGGATGTGAGGGCAACAGAGAAGGACAAGGTCAAGATTTATGAATCTTTCAAGCCGGGTGATATTGTCCGAGCCCAAGTCGTAAGTTTCTTGTCATTTTGAAGTTGAGTTTTGGCTAATCGGTGTTAGATCTCCCTCGGTGACCAAGCAAACTACTATCTCTCGACAGCTTCAAACGAACTTGGCGTGGTAATGGCGATGAGCGAGGCGGGCAACGACATGGTCCCCTTGAGCTGGAAAGAGTATCAAGATCCTGAAACGGGAATTACAGAGCCCCGAAAGGTCGCAAAGCCTAGCTGAGCTTGCCGCCTTGTCACAGTGCCAGCCCTGAAGTCAACTGGAATGCAACAAGTGCAACACGAAGGGGGCTTGTCTCAGAATAATTTGGCCGAGATGCTTCACAGCCTTTTTTGCCCCTTGGACATCAGGGAAAAAATCAGGAAGGGGTCATTGACGCAAGAGAGGGCGGTGAAAAAACAGCCTGATGGCGACCAAGTTCCGTGGATTGACTCGCCCGTCATCCCGTGGCGTAAAGCTTTTGGCAGATCAGCCAAGACCGGGTCAGCGTTAACGATCTTGCCGATGCTCGGAGATCATTCCCCTGAAACTGTCAGATCTGGGTTATACAGCCCTCGAAGAGTCTGTGATATTGGATGTCCTACATGCCATGTAGAATCATTGGATGTTGGGTCTCAACTGCAAGATGCGCCAATGTGCGTCAAAGCCAAGAACAAGCCAATTGGAGATGGGATAGAACAAAGAAGAATAAAACGTTTGAATTACCGCATGTGGCCCATCAATTAACCCGACTTGATCTAGATCCAACGTCCCATTCCTCGCGTGCTCGTAAAGTCTGGCGACTGAGGCGTGATTGGCCCTTGGTGGCAGGTGATGTTTTTCGTATCGGCCTACCGTTGAATTCCGGCTTCTAGTGAGTGATTCTAGGGCGGCGGCGCAATCCGGCTTGTGGCTGTTGAAAGTGACTTGTAAATATTGTCGATTTTGAATGAATGAGAATTAGTGAATCAATTAATTAATTGATTGAATTAATTGCCCATGACACCGTGTCTATCCACTTGAAATGCCCTGCCACTCAAGATTCCATCTCAAAGAAACGCCATTTGTTTCAATAGGCCATCCCCTGCCACGTCTGGGACCCTGATCAGCAACGGTGCTAAGCTGTGCTAGGCCGTTAGTGACAGGCACGCGCCACTGAAGCTGCAGCTCAGCCGCCCATCGCGTGTCTGGGGGCGTTCAAAGCCACTGAACACGCAGACAGGGGAACCCCCCAAAAATAGGGACAGGCTGTGGACGGGCCACTCGGGCACGGAACCTGTCTTGCCCGACTTATATTACTCCCTTGACATTTCCCGCCCTCACAGACGGGGAGCCTTTGCGATCAGCAATCTGTACCACGATAATACCCCTACGTGTTCATGATATAATACCCCGATCTACGACTACTACAACCAATACAACGACATACACAACCTTCTATATGCGCCAGCCATGTCCTCAACAATGGTCATGACCATGGCGGCACCGCCCATCGCTTCCGACGACTCCCCATGCTGCCCCGGCTGCGGTTACGCCCTTCCCCTCGATCACACACAGGTCCAGCTCCTCGAGGCTCAAGCCCGCATCGTCGACCTCGAGAACCAGGTTCGCCTGCTCAACGAAAAAGCCTCGGCCGCCGTCGACCGGTGGGCAGACTACGAGGATGAGCTCACGAGACTCCGCTCCCAACTGGCCTCGTCCCCGACACAAAAACAACTTCCCGCCACGCCCACGAATACTCGCATGTCCTTCCTCCAGAGCGGCACAAGTCGCCTCTCTGCTCTCCTCTCCCCGCGAAAATCACATCCCGACCTTGGCAGCATCGAGACAAATCCCTCTCGACCACCACCCAACCAGCGATCCGCTAGCAGCGGGTCGCAACCCCAACTACAACCTCCACCTTCCCCATCGGCTGAGGATCTGCTAGAAGCGCTGAGCCGAGAGCAGAATCTGCGCAAGGAGGCCGAGGGCAAGGTCGCCGCCACAAGTCAGGAGGTGGAGGAGCTGAGCGCTGCCCTATTCGAGCAAGCCAACGAGATGGTCGCCGAGGAGCGACGAGCACGTGCCAAGCTAGAGCAGCGGGTAGACGAGCTGGAGAGACGAGACATGGAGAAGCGGAGGAGGTTGGACAAGCTGGAGGGGGCCATGAATAGGATTGAGAGGGTGAGGCTGCTGCTCGCCGAGGCTGAGCAGGATGTTGAGTCGAGCAAGCAGACGGTCAAGGAGATTGAGGACCTTGAGAGGCAGCAGGAGGAGGAGAATAGGAGAATTCTCCAGCGGAGGACAGCTGCCTCGGTACCTGAAAGCGTCAAAGAGAACGGAGACGCAGATTCTATCCACACACAAGAAACACAACGATGATGCTCAGGGGAGACGGGGCATTTTGACAGCTTGACACGGCTGTGAGGGCAATACCCACGGAGTCTTTTTTAAGATCGTATTTTAATATCAAGGACGGGACTCTGGAGAAGGTTGGTTGTCAAAGCTAAACTGGCTGGGTGGCGTAATGAGGAATGGATCATGGTTTTTAAAGGTGGCTGCGAAACACGGGGTGGTTTACAAATGAATTTTCTGGATACGGCGTTGGTCAAGAGCTGGAAAAGAAATCGGATGGGGAACGGCTTGTATGATTATCTACGAGGGAAGGCCGATAGTTGCTTTGACTTACTTGAGCACCATATTAATACTTGACATTGTCTTGCTACCTTTGAAGTAAATTGATAGTATCGTGATGACTGATAGCATAACATGGCAGTATTCTAGTTTATTGCCCCTTGTGTAGGCCAATAAATCCCATGCATGTCTACCTAGTTATAACCCACCTTGTGTGGTTATAACTCTGATTGCACAGTTGTAACCCGCCTTATATAGTTATAGCCTGTTTTTACATAGTTGTAACTAACTATCTGTGATTATAACTCTGATTTTACAGTTATAACCTAACTTCTATGGTTATAACTGCTCTTAGCATAATTATAACCTAAGTTGCATAGTTATAACTCTTCTTTACATACCTGTAACCCGTATTATCCAGTTATAACCATACCGCCCGGTTATAACCGCTCTTATGTCGTTGTAAATCACTACGATGTGAAATCACCGGTGTGTCATGACCATTCCGTCACCATGGAACTGGTTCACTTGTCACACGGCCGTATAAACCATCAAAATCTCAATATAAACCGTCACATGGCCTCGTGGATCGTTGTGAATACCTCGTATTGAACAAATGCTATGTACTAACAAGAACCAGAAAGCTTCTGGAAAGAGACCAAACCTTTCGGTGAGCTAGGATGAATCCAAACTCGTCGGCATTTTTGCGCTGTCCTCAACATTGGCCGTCTCGGCTCGGCTGTGCAACATAATGGGCGTCATCGTACTGGAAACTCCTGTCGTGTCTCCATGCCCATGTCCAACTCTTACACAGAAAAAAGAATCCCCCGCTCGTGACCATGCCGAGCACATTAGAAAAGTTGGTAAAAAAAAGTGAGATATTACACCATTGTGCCTGAACGAACCAAGAAAGTTATCTCCAAGTCGTGCCCCTTTGAAAATGCCAACACCCGGACGCCGCTGAAAATGAATCGAGCAAGGCCCTCCTGTAACACCTGTGTTTTGGTGACCGAGAGCGATGGTGTGTGAACAGTCGCTCGCATGTACGCTTTTCTAAATTATCGAATACGCTGTGTCATGTCAACCTAGAACCGGTTCATGCCGCCAGGTGAGCCACTGCCGTATGACGAATGCCTTCCACTGGACGCAGGCATCTGTGGAGGTGGTAGGCTTGAGGGGTCGTCGGCCAGGAGGTCGTCGAGGAATGCGCTGGGGGCGCGCTGGCTTGGCGGCCGGTTTAGGTTCAAAGATGAGTTGCTGATGTCTCTTCGGGGGTTGACAGCTGGTGATTCGGGAGGAGTGATGTTTAGGGTGTGGCGTGAAGGGTTTCCAAACTGGCCACGAGAGTCGGGGCGCAGGTTGGTCAAGCTAATGGAGTGCTCATGGCTCCCACCAGGAGAACTGGTGCCTGCCGCATAGAAGCCTGAAGGTAGGAAGGCTGAGCCACGGTTTCCAGCGCCGCCGTTACCAGTTGCAGCAGCAGTGGGCGAGAAGAACAGGTTAGACGCGCTGGGGGTTGACGAGAGGACGGGCCCGCGGGTGGTACGTCGGACGCCCCGGCCAGCTGAGAGAGACATGGTGGAACCAGTATCGGTATACTTGTAGAATGGTGCTGGCGGAGCGGGAAACCCTTGCTTTGCGTTGGCATCGTGCTGAGCCTTGGCAGCTCGCTCAACAGATCGGTGAAGAAGGATTCCCACAATGAGTCGCCAGAGGAGAATGGCAGCGCCAAGTGCTCCAAGAATCGCGCCAACAGCAATGAAAACAGTTCCATCAGGAGCGCTCGAGTGCTGCATGAAAGGCGCGTTGCTGGTTGGCGGAACGGTCGCAGCCGGGTAGGTAGGGATCGCTTTGACCTTTGTCAAAGTTGGCAATCCCGTCTCAACTGAATCTGAAATGGACTTGATCGATGTGATCTTGGACTGGATTGTGCTTGTCGGATCGTCCTCGGTGGATGTAGGGTCCTCTTTCTCGGTGGATGAAGGTTCCTCCTTGTCTTCGGTAGATGAAGCCTTTGTTGCTGTGGGCTTTGATTCCTCCTTGGTGCTTGCAGGCTCCTTCTCTTCGGTCTTTGACTCGGCTTCAGACTTGTTATCTTCGGACTTGTTGTCAGTGTTCGACTCTTTGGCGGATTCGGCGGCGGTCGCGCTGGCCTTGCTGGCTTCGCTGTTCTTGTCGTCGTTCGTGTTGGTAGCTGCAGGAGCGGCGGCGGCACCGGAAGCGCCAGCAGCGCTTTCCTTATCCTTGTCGTCCTGAGCCATTACCATGGCGCCGAAAATCGAGACCGAGGTGAAGGCCGAGAGCAAAAGCTCTGGCCTGGGCAGATAGTTGGCAGGCCGCATAGTGGGCTGCTATGTGGGATGTCTTCTTGACGAGTATTGGAAAGAATGAAATGTGAGATGTCGAGAGTTGAATGCTGTTGAGTATTCGAGTCGGCGCTGGAGGTCCAGTCGATTCGCGCGGAGGATACGAGATGCAGTCCCTCGAGACTCGAAAGGGCGACCGAGTCAGGTTGCGTATGGCCGAGGAGGCGCTGGAATGCTGGAGGGATATCGAAGTAAAGGTGGGTTACGATTCGGCGTGCCGCTGTGAAACAGACAGGGCTATGCGAGACAACGACGTATTATCTTCCCTTTCGGACCCAAGAAGAGGGCGACGGCGTTCTGAACGTGTCGTCGGGTATGTGGGATGAGGGATGAATCGCGTCAATAACCCTGGCAGGGGGGCCACGAGAACGAGGGAGATGAGAAGCGAGAGGTGGGCAAATTAGCGGATCGAGGGGCCGTGAAAGTGTTTTCCAACAGGCCGAGAAAGAATACAAGAAAAGATGAAGAGAGACAAAAAAGAATGTATGTGGGCTGGCGAATGGATATGCGTAACCAAGCGAATGGGTGAGACGCCTCTACCAAGGCCGCGTTAGCATTGTTTGACCGAGAAAAGATTGAGATGAAGTGATGGGATGGGGATGAATGGAGGAAGCGAGAAGGAAACGGGGTCGCACGACAGAACAGGGCCAGGGACTGGCTTTCTTCCTTCCCTTCCAGATGCCTGTCCAATTCTGGGCCGAGCGTTTGAGTGGGAGGAGGACGCGAGCATCAAAGGGGCGTAGCGCAACTGAAAGGATAGCGGCCACTGCTTGAACGGGCCTAGATTGATTGATCATCTGGGGGTTTTATTCGTCAGCTTTTATTGAACTCCGCGTAAATCCAATGCGTGAACCTGTGAGGTTCAGGGGTGTCACTTTCGCAGCAACGCCATCCGCGCTCTGTTCACTTACGAATCCGCCTGATTTACAGCGCCTACGGACAGGGCTGCGAATTATCGCGCCGTCCCTACCTCCCCAAAGCAGCCAGCCGCCAGGTTCCGTTGTGGTGGTCAGCTCTCAGCACCTTGAGCGCTTCTCAGCCGCCCTCGTGGCTGGCTTAGTCCACGTATTCCACCGCTTCTTTCGGCACAGCCCGCCTGGTTGCTGGGGAAAAGCAACCACAGGAGCGTCTTGGTTTACACGCACCAACCTATGAGAGTTATCCCTCAATACCCGTTGCCTGGTTTACCTGTCGAGATCAACAACCACTATTGCGTTTCAATCTTGGCTCCCCTCACTATGTTCCCGACAACCAGACGTCCGGGATTGGCGTGGCTTTCTGTAGCTTTCCATGTTGACGCGGCAGGTTGCAGCTAGACATGTACAGTATCCGGCCGTTGAGCGCACGTAACGACGCAACGCAACGCAACGCACAAGCAAGATTCAGCAACGGTCATTGACAGCGGAGGCTGCATAAACTGAAACTTTCTGCAGATGCCTGTCGTGAGGTATCAAGCACGTCACAACACGACCTGCAGGGTTTTCATCAGTCAACCTGTGAATGTGAATGTATTTTTAGCCATGATAGAGTACAAAATAGACTCTACGAACGACACGATGGGATTGCTGACGCATGTCAAGTCAAAAATATCACTGGTCACTCAATTCTCCATCCCATGTGCCAGCTCACATTTCAGGGTCCGGTTCGATCGACCTCGCACCGGCCAGCGGGGTAACTGACATGGCTCTCCTTGACTTCTCGTGTCTCCGCGTGAGCCGCTTTGTTGATGATTTGTGTTTTGCAGGAAGACCCAAGGCCCCCACGTTGCGCTCACCACGCCTGGTGTCTCTGCAACATTGAAGAGTGCACGGGCCATGTCCATGACGGGCAGCGCACGTGACCTTTCGTCGGCGCTACAGCAAGGCCGGTCCCATGCGCGAGCCTCGTCATTGTCAGCCTCCAGTTCTGCGCATCGCCAACGAAGCATCATCGGCTGAATACGACCTACATCCCGAATCCACCTGTGAAGCCTCGAGGCCCCTACGAGAACCTGTACCGATCAATCCGGATCCCCGCGATCAACACCTAGCCGTCAATATGGAGGAGGAGCGTCTCTGGAAGTTCAGAAAGCCCGAGTGGCTCAACAGCGTCTGGGCCCGTAACGCTGGTGTCTACGCTGCCGGAGCTATTGTACGTTGGTCCCGTAAAGCATGATGGAGGTTGTGCCCGCGATACTTTCAGCAGCCTCGAGCTACACGTCGCGATACTCGCCCGCGCCGCTGCGCTCTTTCATGATTTCCAGACCGCAAGGCTAACCACGTCCTGTCAGTTCTCCGTCGCATTCTACGTCATGCTCGACTCTGCCGTCTGGTCCAAGTCGCCCAGGAACGGCTCCGACGTCCATGTCAAGTTTGTCGACTGGCTGCCCTTTGTCTTTTCCAGCTTGGGCATGCTCATTATCAACTCGGTCGAGAAGCAGCGCCTTAGCGCCGACTCCTTCAGCTATAGTGGATCTGGTGTCGCCTGGAAGGCTCGCGTTGTCCTCTTCCTAGGTTTCGCGGCCCTTGCTGGTGGAATGGCTGGTGGTGTCACTGTCTTTGTTCTCAAGTTTGTCGTTCCTAGCGTTGCTATGCCTGCGCTGGGTATGGGTATCGAGAACGTGGTTAGCAACGCTCTAGTTGGCGTCAGGTAAGTTTGACTTTAGTCGAGGTTTCTATGTTGCTAACCCGACGCAGCTCTGTTGTTCTTTGGGTGAGCCAGAACATGGAGGACGAGTACTCGTACAACCTTTCTCTGTAAACACAGCCAGACAAGATTAGATGAAAGAACGAGGGCCGTGTGGATGTCAGGGCGCATTGATGGGTTGAGCTACGTTCCTAAAGATGGCTCTCGGTGTACGAATAGGAGCAGTTTCTCAAGTATGAATGTGGAAGAATGAGCTGCAACAACGAGTATCACGGATAGGTGATAGTGGTCACGATCTGGGCACGAAGATTTTGGACCAAGAGATTATAGTTATTGGGAATTCATCGACTACCGTCGATTTACAGATTTAGGAGCTCGGTTTATAAGCGTTGTCAGGATTAGCATGAGTTTAAAGTTCGTTATGCACAACTGACAGCCTGTCAGGTTTGACTCGATGTGAAAGGAGTCGAATGGGTTCTAGTATCATTCCATAGCATCAAAGGCCCGATTCGGAAGACTATTGAAGACAATTGGAGGCTAGAGAACAAGAGATTGTTAGAATGCGCTTGCTTAGACTCGACGACTCGGCGGTTACCCAACCTCACTAAAGTAGAGCATACCCCGGCGCATCCCCACACAAAGTCAACACACATAGAACCCGCATCTGACTACGCATCACATCACATCTTGGACAACATAACAAAACACAAAAAGTCCTACATTCTGCATAATATTCACTCACACGTCATGTCTGACCGCTCACGCGCAGCAACAAACGGCAACGGCGTTTCGCGTTCGCGGAATGGCACATCATCCTCTGCATCTGCATCAGTCCGTCGCAATCTGTTCCAGAGCCAGTTGACCCGGCGACCTACAGCTGGCTCGTCGTCCACGTCGGCCGAGACGCTGCACCTCGACGTCGACGTCGACGTCTTGTCAGACACCTCTGAGATTGTCGTTCGTGATAAGCACGGCGAGATTGAGCTTGGGGACCCGCCGACACCGATGCTCGAGGACGATGATGATTTGCCGATGGATCACCGGCAGGAGACTGAGAGTATGCTATTTACTTGTGACACATTTGATGATTGAGGCTAACTGGTGACAGAGGAGAGGCAGCGACTGGCTGAAGCCGTCAAGCATCATCAGATTAATCGAAATACAGTTCCAGAGCAGCCAGAAGGTACGCCAGCTCACCCCCAATCGTCACACCATGTGGCTCACCTCACGTGCAGAACTCCTCGAAGCTGTCAAGACGAGTTTGAGAGTAAAAGTGGCGGCCCTCGCCGAAGACAATTGGATGTTTGAACCCGAAGAACAGCCACGCGGATAACCAAGTCTTTTTTTTTTCACCAACCTTGCAACGCCTGCTGTCTATGGATGTTTCTCCCAAGACTCTATGGTACACAAACCGTCCACGAAAACCAACCCTCATCTAGTCCAGGCCCTCAGCAGCGGGAGCATCTGGCCGTTGCGTGACCTGTCTCCGCTTCGGCTGCTCCTGACCGCCGGCTCCGCCAAAGAAGCCGCTCATCATATCCATTAGAGGGTTGCTCTGTCGGGGCTTAGCTAGACCAAAGTACATCTCCCCAACCATCTCGAGCGCCTCGCCCCACGTCCCGGCCTCGTTGATCTGCGTCGCGTACTTGGACACGAGCGCCCGGAAGAGCTCAGGCGCACCCCGCTGGACGGCAAGCAGGAGGAAGCCCAGGAAGTTGAGGAGGGGGATGCTGGGGAAGATGCGGATATCACCAGCGGCGCTCGACACGTCCTGGACACCGATATTCGGGTTGTCGCTGGAGAGTGAGCTGGTAAAGATACGGTAGCAAGTGTTGGCAGCGCGGACGTTGCCAATAAGGAGGTAGGGGAGAACGGCGCGACCAGCGAAAAGAGCTGCCGTGTGAGGCTCGCCCTCCTTGTACCACGTATACTCCATCTTTGTCAGAACCTCGGGCGAATCCTTGGTACCCAATATCAAATGTTTCTCCGCCTCGTATGTCTCATGTTCCTCGGCGTAGAGCGATCCGGCAACGTGGTGAAGTTCTGGGTCTCCGGCGGGATACTCGCCGAACTTGGCTGACCACCTATTCGTCCGTTAGGATACTCGCTACCATTCGGACACCGTAGCACTTACGCAATAATCTCGCCAACAAACTTCTTCCTCGTAGGCTCCTCGGCATCAAACAGCCGCAGGCAAGTAAGCAGTCTCCCCTTGGAAGTAGCATCAGGCTTCAGCTCAGCCTGCTTGTAGACGTCGAGCAGCATGATGCACAGATCGCCTCCGCTACCACCCTGGCCGGCGCGAAGCAACGCCTGGGCCACATTCGAGAGGATATCGATGGCGGCGGGCCAGTTGGACGTCTTGATGTAGCGAGAGGCGGCGACACGGGTCTGCTGCTGGGCCTCGTAGTAGTCGCCCTCTTCGATCTTGGCCTGTAGCCGGGCTACTATGCGGTCGACCTTGCTAGCCATGATGGGCGTTTCTCGGAGTGCGGGACGGAGAGGGAGGTGGGAGGGGAGGTAGCAATAATGGCGGGTGACGTCGAGGGTGAGGCAGAGTGAAGCTTGGAGGTGTTCAGCGGAAATGGTGGAGGGGTTGACCAGCAGCCTACCTAAGAGCTAGGGTACCCCACATGGCTTAGTAGGCGCCCCGCTCACTGCGGGTCCTATATGATGTGGGTCTGTGACTTTCGCCTCCAAAATTGGCATGGTTGCGTTGTAGACGACGCGATAATGGTGTAGTGGTAACATTCTGGCTTCCCATGCCTGAGCGCAGGGTTCGATTCCCTGTTATCGCACAGCTTCTTTTTGCTTTTTTTCTGGTTTTATTTTACTCAAATATGTCCAAAATGGTGCTGTTGAACTCCTGATCCATGAGCCATGGCGTCGAAGTGGTCACTCCTTAGGGTGGAGCGACGGTTAGCGGGGATCCCATCGCCCCACACGTGGCGCAACGCTCAGCTGACTAAGGCGAGGATCACGTGTATCCCGATAAAGTCCAAAAACAGAAGCTCATTGCGAATTGGACCAATCAGCGCTGTCATTCTTCTCAAGCTGCTAGCTAGAACACTCAAACAGGTTGTTCGTTTGTCGCTAGCAATTGACGAGTGATAATGAATCAGTGAAAGTTTTAAGGAAGCAGCTTCGTTTGAAATCCTGCGGAGACGCTTGGAGAACCGCAACGAAATAGACAGGACGACTGTAAGAGCAGTGCCATATTGGCTTTCAGCCGAGAAGAGACGGCGCCTGGTCGACCAGTCCACACTTTTGGTACCCCGTTCTATTGGGAGGTTGCAGAGAGTATCTCTTCTTCTAGATGAAACATTTTGCCCGTTGTCACTGCTGTTCCTCTCTTTGTTGTCTCCTTGGCCCAGACTTCTGAGTGAGAGAGGTCACCTTAGGTAAGAACACTCAACGGTGCGTGCCTATAAATGATCATAAAACAATGATCATAATCTTATGTGTACATACATCTGGATCTTGATCATTGACAAACGTATAGATACGCTTAGTAGGAGATCAATGTTGTTTACAAAGCCTTCAGTAGAACGATTTCTCTTCGCAAGGCACAGGACCATCGATTGGTCCCAGTCTTCGACACAATTAGATCCGTTGTTTCAGTACATTACAGCCCTCGTGCCCAGTCATCTTCAGATCCCGTGTTGATATGGAAGTATGTCGACCACGTTTTCACTTAATACCGGAGGAAATGTGTTCAGACTGCATCAAGACAACATGGTAGTACTCGGCGACTCAGCACTGTGTCTAAAGAGTATGCTCATTATCTCTCCTCCTGCAATCAAGAATTTAGACAGTTCACACAGTGTTCCTGTGTTTTTGATCCCTGCGTGGGATTGTATTTGGTTCTTTCCAGTTGTGTGTCGTTTTGCCCTCGCTCCTTCCTCGACAAACCGTTCTCTCCTCGACAAACCATTCCTTCCTCGACGAACCGCTCCTTCCCCAACAGTTCTCTACTTCCATTTAATGTTTGAATCACGTGTCCCTTCCATCGTTCCCACAAACCCGGATTCTTTTCCCAATTTGGCCCGTCGTTCTGTTCCTCCTCAACATCAACAGTCGCGAAGATGCTCCCCCCGCCCCCCAACCTCGACCGACTGTTGGCCCTCCTGAAAGAGTACCTAGCTCCTAAGGAGCTAGGTCTTCCAGGAGGGGTCGCCGAAGAGAAGGAGCTTGTTTGGGCGGAGAAGGACTCCCCCGTCAAGGGGGAGTTTATTACTCCTGGCCCTTGGCCTTCTCTGGCCGTCGCCACCACCACCACCTCCTCCTCCTCCACGCCGCCGCCTGCCTCCGATGCGGCCCCTATCGTCTCCCCCCCGGGCTCCTCGCCCACTGTCACCCGCCGCCGCCGCTGCCGGTTCCTTCGCCGGCTCTTCTCCTCCTCCTCCTCCTCCTCTTCTTAGAGGTTGTGCCGTCTGGTTTCCGGGGCTCCCCCCTTTTTTTGCGTTGGCCGCTTTTCTTTGGTATTTTGGGCCTTCGCCTTCACTTTGATTCTCCCTACGTTGGGAGAAAGGGTTAAGTCCCATCTGAGTCGGTACCATGGTAGGATATCTCCTATTCCACATGTTTTCTACCCCAAGGCTAACGTACAAGTGAAGAGAAGGCAGCTTGTTCTTCCCCATATTCTCCGACGATGATGGCTCTGCCTGGTCACCTTCTCCCGTACCTTAGACTGCTCGACAACCTTCCTCTTCAATCACAGGCCGCTTTCGCCTCCGCTCCGACGACCAACGGGTGTCAGGTTTCTCTTGGGTTTGGAGTGTGACGGGGTCACTGGGTTAATATTATTGGATGGATTCAAATCCTCTTGGATTTCTGGAGCGGTGTTTTCTCGGACTCAGCATTAGATGACAGGTGTTGCATTAATCACTAATGTCTGCTGATCAAATACTCATACTGTTATTGCCCGGAAACATTTACACTTGCAACGAAAACCGCTCAAACCACTTTACGAACTAAGCTTCTCACAAGAAACTGATCACTTATCCTTTCCACACAAACTCCTGCTTCACCTGAGACATCAAAGGTCGAAGGGCCATGCCGTAGTCGCCTCCATTTGGCGTCCTTAGCAGGGTGTGGATGTGGAACTTGGCCGGCTCCTCGTTGGTGAGGAAAACCCCCGAGTGGTGGTCAAATTCTATGATGACCACAGGGCTCTGAATCCGATAGTAGAATGGGTCATGCTCTTCCCAGCCCCCAATCCAGCAGAAGTAGGTTTCGTGGAACCATGACTTGATCTGGTCGAGTCGGTTCTGGCGTGCTTTTTGTGGGAGGTAGAGAAGGTACTCCTTGCTGATGGCCAGGATAATATCCTGTTGCGCTGGTGTCATATCGCTGACTAGAATCCCTTCGTAAGGCACGATGCGATTGTCCCGGTATGCTCCGCAGAGGTGTCTTTGATCATCGTGATTCCAACGTCCCTCGGGCATCTTGGGATCCTTCATGAGCGTGAAGATCTGCGCTTTCTCCTTCTTCTCAGCCGAAAGATTGGTCATCAATTCCAGTCCCAGGCGCTCTTCAGTCTGTAGGATACGCGTTCCCTTGTATGGGCCTTCGTCGATGAGATTGGGCTCCGCTCCAGTGAACCAGGGTGAGACGACAATCTGAGTTTTGTAGAGAAGGATATTGAGACAGAGATGGTGGCCATAGAATGAGAAGCCCCAGGGTTTCTCAGTATTAGGTTCACCAAAGAGGACAAAGTTGTAAGACCATTCATTCATGATGACAGGGGTCTTCACAAGTTCACCCAGGAAGCCGTTGATGCGCATAGCTCCCAATGCCTTTTGGTATCCCTCAGGGGAAAGGGTCAGTTCCAAAACCCGCATGACTGCGGTGCGTTGCTCAGAGGAGACTTCATCGAGCCGAATGCCCTTGTCGCTGAGAAGAAACTCGGGATTGGACCAAGTGCGCCATTCGGGCGAGTCAATGTGGTAGCATGTCTTTTGACGCTGTTTTTCATCCAGAAGTTGGACGAGCTCGTTCGTGGCATGGACGATATCCTTGATCAAGATACCATCATCTTGTAGGTCAAATAGTCCATGTCGAACATTGCCTGGATGATGTTAGTCGACATGACATGCTATCAAAGCTGTCACTCACCGTCATTGGTGACCCCCTTGAAAGGTTCTTTGAATAGCTTCAACCAGTGGCAGTATAGAGCATGAAGCCATGGTGGTTGCTTATCCTCTTTGAACGCTTTGGCGTATTCGTACACATCTTGCTTCTGCATGGTTGTAAAGCGGGGGATGGTGAGATCCGGCAGATGTTCACGGAAGCTGCGGGCATCCTTGGACGAGGACGATTGAGATGCCATGACTGTTGTTAGACTCGTGGTGATGGTAAATGACAATGGTATCGTTTCAGTTGAAGTTGAGATGAAAGAGAGAAGTTGGCTGAGGAGTGATCAACGTCAACCTCGGGATATACATAGCCGGAGCTCTTGGATGGACTTCTCGCCGGGTGCAATAACCTGGATATACGGAAGACATATGGAAGCCAATTGGTCAGCACAAGGAGTATCTCGGACCCCAGAGAAGCACGGGAGGACGCGCAACTAATCTAATTAGTCTATAATTCCGAAGCCAATCTTGTTATACGGTTTGAAACAGCGCTGATCTGGTGGCCCGAGACTCGATGCCGACCACCCCCGAAACGTCCCCCGCATTCCCGGCCCCGCATTCCGATTGTCGGTGTAAGTGGTGCCGAAACCGGCATTACTACAGGGCGCTTATTACAACTGACCCATGCATATCTAGATTTCGTCATTTAAGAGCTTGCAGTCCCCGTATCTTGGACTATTTTTCTCTTAGAGACCTTTAGAGTTGATATCACAGACCTTGACCATGGCAGCAGCAGCTCTCCAGCGTGAGTCTCCCCTTATAGTAACCATCGCCTTCTAACACTATCAGGCCTCGTGCGCTTCGTGCCCAAATCTAATCCTTCCAAGATCCTTATCGGTCAGCCCGCAGACAAGGACATTGATGTCGGCGCTGCGCTGCGTAAGGGGCGTGAGGTTGCCGTGAATGTTTGGTCAGGCTCTTCTGTTCTGGCGCCTGGAGACTCAACTGGCGCCACTGAGACCATTGAGCGTGTGCTTTCACCCCTTGCTCAAAGCGAGGTTGGCACTGTTCGATGCATTGGTCTGAACGTAGGTATTCCTAGCTTGCTTGAGGTTGTTGAAGTCGTGAGTTAATTGCCTCATCTCAGTATCGGAAACATGCCGCCGAGGTTGGCGTTGAACCTCCAACAATCCCAACAGTTTTCATGTACGTGATGCCTTAATGACTCTCTCATCAGAGCTGATATTTTCGCAGGAAACCCAGCACAACCATACTTGATCCCTGGCCAGCTCGGGGGATCATCCCCAGTATCACCCAGGTTGACAACACTGGCGACTACGAAGCAGAGCTGGCTGTGGTCATTGGCAAGGCAGCCAAGAATGTCAGTGAGGCGGATGCTCTAGACTATGTCCTCGGATATACTGCTGCCAACGACGTGTCTAGCCGTACCCAGCAGCTTAACCAGTCCCAATGGTCCTTTTCCAAGAGCTTTGACGGGGCCTGCCCTCTGGGTGAGTTCTTTTGACAAGAAATTAGAACCTAACTAACTATCTGAAGGCCCTACACTTGCCCTCAAGTCTTCGATTCCTGATCCTTCCAAGCTTTACCTGCGGGGCATCAAGAACAACGAGGTCGTCCAAGAAAGCGGTATCGAGTAAGTTCCCCCAGCGCCAAGATGACATGCATTGCTAACCAGGCTTCAGCGATCTGATCTTCAGCATCCCCCAAATCGTCAGCTGGCTATCGCAGAGCACAACACTGCCCCCCGGAACCGTCATCATCACTGGAACCCCTGCTGGCGTAGGAATGGGAAGGACTCCCAAGGATTCGCTAAAGGGAGGCGATGAGTTCTCTGTGGAGATTCTACCTCATATTGGTACGCTTACAAATGTCTATGAGAACGAAAAAGATGGGCATATCGTGAGGTTGTAAGAGGGTGGTAGAGGTATGTCTCAGTTGTTGCGCGGGGCTGAGCAAGCTGCATACTATGCCTCCCAAAGCTTGGCTATCTGCAGCCTAAGTAGACATAGAAACATGCGTATTAAAATCGAGCAGCTGGGCGATATTGGGGACTCTCGTATGATTGTAAGCGCACCATGAACCCGTACAAGGATGGCTTATACACTACGAAGAATAAGCAATCCATCCTCTGCCAATATTGCCAAATGCGGTTCCTTCACAGAACTCAGTCCTGAATAAGCTATCACCTGTCATCCGTCAGCGTGAGCACTAATGTGCCATTTCGTCATAATTGCTAAAGTCGAGGTGCCCAGTCATGCGCCGCATCACCTCGCCTCTTGGCTTGTGATATAAGAAGTCAGCGCATTGCAAACCATCACTGCTGCTGCTGAAACGATGGATGCTGTGTATCTCCCTCATTGATCATTTGACATCATATCCAAAATGTCGAAATCGTCCCCAATCGCAGAGACAATGAAGGCGTTGAGATTGGTAGAGGTAAGCTACTCATCGCTGGGTTCTTGATATCCAATTCATAGATAATAGTACAACAAAGACTATCAGCTTCACGACAATGTCGCAGTCCCAACCCCAGGTCCAGGCGAAGTTCTGATCCGCGTTTCCGCCTCTGGCTTCTGCCACACAGATCTCATGGTATACCATGGCATAAGCCAAGAACCGCTGCCCTTTATCGGCTCTCACGAACCAGCGGGCACAATAGTCAGTCTCGGGTCCGATGTTCCAGACAGTTGGCGTGTAGGAGATCGAGTGGGTGTCACCAACTTTCAGAAGCCATGCGATGCTTGCACGGGCTGTACGTGGGCCAAGAAGACCATCAAATCGCTGGATCCTCGTTTCTGCGAAAACAGGACCATGTGTGGCATCACCCGGGCCAACGGTGGATTTGCCGAGTACATGACTGCTTCACACGATGCTGTTGTTCACTTGCCCGATGAAGTGTCTTTTGAACAAGCCGCCCCTTTAATGTGTGCCGGTGTAAGTTCACTTCACTGAGATCCAAGTCATTATGCTAACAACCCCAGGCAACCGTCTGGCACGCCATTAACCAGGCAGACCTACAAAAGGGGCAATCAGTAGTAATTATCGGCGTAGGCGGTCTCGGCGTAGGCGGTCTCGGCGTAGGCGGTCTCGGCGTCTTAGGTGTGCAATTTGCAAAAGCCCAAGGCTACCGTGTAGTGGCCGTCGACAAGCACGAAATCGGTCTGAAGCTCGCCTCAGAAGTTCCAGCTCATCTCAAACCCGATCTCATCGTCAACTCCAACGACAAAGATACAGTCCAAAAGATCTCAGACTTTACAGATGGCCTAGGTTTGAATGCTGCCATCGTCTGTACTGGTGATGATGCTGCAAACGATTGGGCAGCACAACGTCTACAACCAAGGGGAGTCTGTGTGGTTGTTGGCTTCCCTGAGGGGGGCTTCAAATTTGATCCAATGAACCTCATCTTTAGGGAGATCATAGTCAAGGGAACTATTTTCTGCAGCATGGACGAGGTCAGGGACATGATGGCTGCTGTTGTTGAACATGGGGTTCTCAGCCCCTTGACTTTGATACCCATAGAGGAAGCAGAGGACATACCAACCAGAGTAGCCGCACATGCCTTCACAGGCCGGCCAGTTGTGACGATTGGAACTGAAGGTCAGAGTTGACCAAGAACTACAAGGTAATTAAGGGGGTTCACCCTCTTCTCTATTGTGCAGTATCTCCCGACCTTCGTTCCAATTTGGAGGCCCAAACATCATGTCGACCATTCCTTTGATACCTGCTCCAGTCTTCTACTGTCCTCGGTACTCTTAAGGTCACAGGCGCTCCATGGCTAATGATTTATAAATAAACAATTTCATGAATGCCATATTTCCATTGATCGTATACACAACGCCGTCAGTCAATGCGACTGCCAAGTCCAGGCTCCGATGTAGTACATGCAACAATCCTTCCTTCTCACGTAGCATTTGTAGATGCTTCCCTGCTCTCATCATTATATAACCCTCTTTAAAGGTTCCAGGCATTACCCGACGATCGTCGACCCTTCTCATACAGCCACTTGCTGTTCAGTCCAACACTCGTTCGCTTACCTCCTGACGGGCTAGGAGAGGTAGGGTCAGAGAACGGAATGGCTGTGGAGCTGGCTCCAAATGGACTCGCAGATCCGATAGAAGACCTCCTCCCATTTCCAAAGTTCACACTCTTCTGGAAAAGAGGGCTTCCCAGTGGTGAGCCGGTAGACCCCTGAAGGGCAGGGCTACCCCGACCAGAGAGAGGTGAGCTAGCGTAGCTTCCCCGACTTCCAACAGAGCCAGCTATGGAGGGCGTGCGCGAGTATCGAGGCGGTGTACTAAACTGAGCATCGGGAGTCGGCGCGGCCGAGGAAGGCTCGAGGCCCAGCAGGGAGCGCTGAGCGGCTGTGAGGGGGATGTCGGAGAGATCGTCTTTCGGTCGGATCAAGGGGAGGCACGCGATGCCGATATTGATGAATGGGATGAGCTGGAGAATGAACCACGCCCAGCTCAGGTATATCCTGAAGGAGGTGGGAACGCTGGAGGTTGAAGTCAGCTACAGTCAAGCCAGGGAGTTGTCAGGCAACCAACGCTTTAGAACCAATGTTTAGCCTAGCGAGAAGCTGCGCGGACCAAAAGCCTAGCAGTGCGATAACATTGTAGGCTATTTGGCGCACATTCTTCTCAGAAAAGGTGGTCGCATTGCGTCGCCTGGTGATTTCATCCAGTCGCGGGTGACGCCAAGTTCCGGGGCTGTCTATCATAGGAGGGCCGCCGATGGTGGTCGTCTTGACAGGAGTGGCCATGGTGAGGTAGGATGGAGATTGGCACAAGCAGGAAAGCTTGGAGTGTCTTGCGCGGGTGGTTCAACAAGCTTGATCGTGGATCTGATAGCGACCGTGATACTCCCGAGGACAGTCCAGACAGTCGGCTCGAAACAATAAAACTGCCAGACGCACTCTCATGTAGTGTACCTGTTGGTTAGTATCCTCTTAATCCAGGCCAAGGCCGTTGTGAGGCCAGTTGCTCCCTTGTTCGTGGGCTTTGTTGACGTTGCTTGCTCAAGTAAAGTTGAGGGTGAACGGGCTCCCCGTTAAGGAAAACACGACAGAGAGCGACTGGCCTAGGCTAGCTTGGCTGTTGCAGCGACCAGCACGGGCCTTCATGCGCCACAAGTGCATTGGCACCTGCAGGCACCAGAAGGTTAAGCCACAGGGACCCAGTCACCAGCCACACGAGCTTTAGTGAATCACCGCGGTGGTCCTGACGCGCTTCAGCGCTCGCTGTGGCAGAGGCAGGCGCATCCGTGGTGCTAACTAAGGCGAGGCCCGAGGACAGGAGCTGCCAACTTCGCTTCTCCTTCTCACCACATCAAGGGCTGAAAACCTTGCCCGAGCATAATCACAATCGCCCTCACCTCGCAAACGCCCTCGACGCGCAATCGACGATTCATTTATCGACGAACCTCGCCTTTTCTACATCGTCGACTATTTCACCAACAACAAATTCCCGTTCGCGATGCGACGTTAGCCCCAACGAGACTCCCTTCAGCCTCATCTACCACCACCACTTTTCTCCCCATCATCGACCACCTCACCTCATCCACCATGGCAGCATCACCTGCCTCCCTCGCCGCCACGTCGGAGATGGAGGCTCCAAGCTCCCCTGCTCATCCAGAGAGCAAGTCCTTTGTGTCTCGCGCAATGACTGAGGATGACGACACGCAGATGGCCAATGCCACTCCTGAACCGCAAGAAAAGTCCTCACGCTCCAAGGGAAAAGGATCGCAAAATAAGGATGCTGGCAATCAACCACAAATTGGCAAGATTCGCCATTTGAAGAAGGAAGATGGCGAGCCTCTGTGGAGAGCCGATATCCAATACGACTTCCTCAAGGCCGTTTTTGACAATGAGCAAGCCGTCTTTACGAACTCGTACGAACCGGAGCGCCTCGGTAAACAGAACTTTGCCGATCTTTACATCGATACGATGTCCCGGAGCTCCAAGACCAGCAAGGTCCTTCGCGACAAGCTCCTTAGTGATAGAGAAGCCGCCAAGGGTATGGCCATGGTCTGCCTCCTCGTCAACATGGGCCGCATGAACACGACTCTCAACTGTGAGTGATGCACCACCACCTATACTTTCACCATACTAACTCGCCTCCAGTCTTCCCCGAGATGAGAGCCCAGCTCCGTACCTACCACGCCATTCCCTCCCTCCAGGCCCACCAGGATCCCCATGCCTATAAGCAACTCCAGGATGCGCCTCGCCTCAAGTCAATTCTAAAGGGCGGTGCGGAGGATCGCGACGAGCCTGGGACGCTTGATAAAATCAAGCAAAGAGACATCCCTCGCACAAACCCTGTTAACCTCATCTTCGTCATGTGCAACACAGCACAGAAGGTCGCTGAGCTACATTTTCCCCGCCAACGCGAATTCCATGACCTCATCATGAAGACTCACTACTCTAGTGAGTCACGAGCAAAGGCCTTTCTTTGGCTTATGTGGTTCTACCTTGAGTCCGACTTTACAGAGGAGGGTTGCGACGAAAACCCTTTCGGCCCAGGTGTTGATTACGGTCTGGATGTCGCAAACCAAGGCGTGCCTCGCCTAACACAAATGACGCCCGCTGAACAGGCAAAGGAGAACGTAGACACGGAGGAAGAGATGGAGTTTGGCCGGGCCAAGCAGAAAATGCGAGCCAAGATCCTGGAGATGGATCAGGCATATCTCAACGAGAGAGAAACCAAGCGAGGCAAAATGCGACCGTCGTTTGCCGACGATGGACCTGCGATACTTCCACGTATCAGACCTTCGAAGCACGAATCTGATATGGATAGTACCAGGTCAACGCCACCACCTCGAGCACTAGGTCGCGCCCTTAACTCTGGCCGGAGAGGTGCCCCACTCAAGTACCAGATATTCGAAGGCTCGTCACCGGCGCATCACGTCAATGAAGGAGTTGTCGCTCGAAAGCCTCGTCCGCCGACAGCACACCAGCTAGCAGTGGAACGAAATCGAAGCCAAAGGGTCGAGTATATCCTTGATCGTGGTCTCCGCCGCCAACATCACAAGAGTCGCAAGTCGAGGCGCAAGGATGGTGCAATCTTCCGAGCATATCGACGACTTCAAGAGGTGGATGACCCTTTCGAAGACAGCGACGATGACAATTCAGCTCCTCAAAACTTGGTCTACGGAGACAAGGCGCCAGGACCGTTCCGCGAGAAGGGTGTGGGAGGGCTGTGCCTCCTATCCAAGGAGGAGGATGATTTCGGCGAGGAAGTCAGCGCCTATGCCGCCGCTTTGAGGCGATCAACACGACGTCTGTCTCGTTGGGCCCCTCGATCAGCAGAGCTCGGAGTGATTCCTACCATCAAGCGACCCAGGCCAAAGAAGCCTGACGATGATGACAAGGACGATCACGAGGATGACAAACATGACGGCACCAACGGCGATGCCAATGGTGATGTGACTCTTGGTGACATGACGCTCGGTGATATTACAGTGGGAGATGCCACTGTGGGGGATATCACAGTAGGGGACATGACAGCAGGAGATGTCACGATGGGCGATGTCACTATGGATGATGTCGAAGACCAGACAGTTCTCCACGAGGATGATGAACGGGCTGACGACGACGCCGATGACGCTGACCGTACGGAGGTCATGGGTGATTCGGATATGGACTAAGCAGGATGAAACGGCAGTGAAGGAGTTTACCATGTGTAGCAATATCAAGACGGACTCAAACGGGACATGTTTGCAGGGGTGGTTACGGAAATAGGAGTTTATGTTTGTTCGGTTGATTCGTCTATTACCAATCAATGGTCATAATGTGCGAAGGGGTGCAACAGAACGCGAGGCAATGTATGCGGTGAAGAGGAAAAAGAAAGATGATGTCTTTGTTTGACGGGCAGCACAGGTAGACCAATAGAACCAGTTCCTGACCAGGCGCATTTCGATAGACAGCGAATACGCTATACAAATACGAAAACGAGGAGGCTGTATAGCGTATTGCGCCAAGGACCGGGACACAACCGAGAGCGGAGAATTATCACTCGGAATGCGGAGGGTCCGGGGCAGGGCGAATGGGCTCATTCCGGGACGCGGGAAGCACGGCCGCCGAGCGGTGAGACGCGGCAGATTGGCTATCGGAGCTGCAAGGTCCCGTCCTAAAATCCCCTTGTTTTGGAAGAGACGGCGCATTTCGATCCCTCATCTCCAACGTGTCTGGTAAAGTCAATTGAGCCGTGGTGATCTCCTCTGAAGGTTCTCTCCCCGTGGACTCGTTCTCTCCCTTGTATTCGCCATGCCCAAGACGCAACCTCAGTCCGGCATCAGCCGGCTCCTGGGCATCCTCGGCCTCCTGACCGCCCTCCTGGCGTCGGTTTTCTACGTGCTGGAGCAGAACCTCGACAAGTTCTACATCTTTGATCTGGAGCACCTGGACGACTTGTCGAAGCGCGCGCTGGCTGAGCACGGCAGCAACACCAGGGCCGTGGTGGAGTACATCGTTACCGAGCTCAACGAGAAGACTCCTGCGCATATCAACCTCAATGAGGAGTGGGTGTTTAACAACGCTGGCGGTGCCATGGGCGCCATGTACATTATCCACGCCAGTGTGACCGAGTACCTCATTGTCTTTGGTTTGTTCCCCTGATCTACCTAGAAGAAACCCCTGACTAACAAACTCAGGCACCGCGATCGGCACAGAGGGCCACACGGGCCGCCACACGGCCGACGACTACTTCCACATCCTCAGCGGCACCCAGCTCGCCTACGTGCCCGGTTCCTACGAGCCCGAGGTGTATCCTCCCGGCAGCATCCACCACCTCCGCCGTGGCGACGTGAAGCAGTACAAGATGCCCGAGAGCTGCTTCGCGCTCGAGTACGCCCGCGGCTGGATTCCACCCATGCTCTTCTTTGGCTTCGCCGACGGCCTTTCGAGCACCCTCGACTTTCCTACTCTGTGGCACACGACGCGCATTACTGGCCGGGAGATGATTTCGAACCTGCTCAAGGGCAAGTTTTAAGGGGTTGGTTAATTGGGGTGTATGTAACAGGGATAAAAATTGGGGGTTGGACGGATTGGAGCTGGATATAAAAGGATTGTGTTTCGGGTATCTTGACGGATCACTTCGCAGCCATGTCATGAGCGAGAGCCATTGGATAGGCTTGGTGCTTTAGATTTCAGCAATCTACAATGTCTTTGCAGATGATGAATGCCTTGGTATATTGCCTAAACTGTGCTTTGTCCGTGAACTCATGACAGCAGACCTTCATCATGACACCTCCCATTTTTTGTCATGTCAGTTGTTGCTCCCTGCTTGCACAGTCTGTCTCCCAGTCCTCAAACTCCTTGATGTGGTCGCTGTCATCAAGAATACATTATTCTAAGATATTATCGAACTCTTGTCAGCCTGTACGCCCTTCCATGAGTCTTTTCAACAGGACACTCTCGACATGACGCCTCGGGAGTATTGCAGACGGGAACCCAACCATCCCCGTCCAGCTATCTAGCTCATTGAAAAGAAATAACCCAGACAGAATTCATCAGGGTAATGCAATTGGTGACATGAGTGAAATCAGTCATGTTTGACTGTGAATCACGGCCTCGACCTTTTGGCCACACGAGCTCTAGGGTGTTGTCGGCCAACTTCTCCCCCTTCTTACAAACGGATGCCGTGGTTGCCGTATTATCTCTATTCACCATCGACCCGTGAAAGGAGTACATGGTTTCAATAATCAACCGTTTGCTTTGGAAGCGCTCAGAGAATGCCTACCTAATTACCTGACTTCCCTTAGGTAAGACTACTCTTTCCCTAAGAATATCTCTTATCTACATACTCCATTAATCGCCAAAGCTCGCCAAAACACTCTTCATTCTCTCAGCCCGTACAACTGATCACATCCTCCGCAAGAACCAAGACCTGATGCCTCTCGTTAACCCCGCCAACAGTCAAGTCGAGAACATGGTTGGGGGCGGGAAAGGAGATTATGACCGCCGCAGATCTGTCGGACCGCGAGAAAGAGTCCCCTTACGATCTCCTAGAGCGCTGGGCTACCATGAGACCTAGCAATAGTACCACGGCTGTGAGCATCACGGAGATGTTCAAACCCCAATTTTTCGAGGAAGTCTTCAACAGATGGACATCCGCTCATGACTTCGTCCCACTGCCAACACTCCCCGACAAGAAGAAGGAGCAGGTATCTGTCCCTGTTGGCAAGCTGAACGACAACCTTCCTGTCACCCCTATGAAGCGAAAGAGGGGGCAGGCCGACCAGATGGACCCAGCTCGTGCGCGAGGCGCCACGGCGCTTCTGAGCATCCATCTCAATATCGGAACGTACGATGTTGGTTTCCTCTGGCGAGATGGCAACTTTGCCACAATCAACCAGAAGTATGTCCAGCTGGACGAAGGCCTGACCATGAAGCTGGCAATCCGACGGGGCATACTCAACTACGACCAATGCGAAACTGCTCGAATTGAGCAGTACAACAAGACGCTGATCATTGCCCTTGCACGCCTCCGGATCCTGGCTTTCTCCAAGACGGGGACGCAGGCAGTCCCCTCGATGGACGATGCGCACCGAGTCAACGGTCGCATCAAGATGGTCGAGCTGGCCTCAGACCTTCTACTCCAATTCTCTACCGACATTGGCGCGATCGCCAGAGACTGCGTGAGCCTTCGCACTAGCCAGCTCCCAATAGACTGCGATGAAGAGAGCAACAGGATGGTCTCGATATACTTGCTTAGGAGGATGTTTACATGTTTATCTACAAAACGGTGTCTGAGAAGTCCAAGAACAATCATAAGACTGTCACAATAAGACACAGAATCAAGTCTATAATGTACCTCTCTTCTTCCTAATGATTAGCAAACCACTCTCAAGATTGTCACATGTTTAGATAATAACCGCCATCTCGTCACGTTCCAACAGCCCCATTGAATAACCTCTGCAGAGATTAACATGGATCTACAGATGCTATTTCTATGGAGCGGCTGCAACACCATATCTGTGGACCTCGGAAGCCGGTGATTCTAATGCAAGTCAAGTGTAACACTGTAGTCAAGATAGGAAGGTTCGAAGCTGATTCCGCGTATAACGGTTACTTATGGCCTGTGTGCTTGCGTGAATGGTATCGAAAGCCCGATGATATCCGCCGTCATGTTCAATGTTGATGGTGGTGAGACGTGAATAATGACCCTGGTTATCACCGCCAGGTAGGGCAGGAGCTGATTAAAAGAATCCAATAGAGTCCTTCGAGAATCATGTCGGATCGACCACCCGACCGGGAGAGTTACGACCCTAAGCGCCCCAGTGGCTGGTCCGTTACGTGATTCTCGCAGCCAAGATGGTGGTCGATAGAAAAAGAAGCTTAAATTAAGAAGCCCTCAAGGATGCTTCTAGCGCGGGGGAGAAACAGCAGGGCTTAAGCGGGAATAGGAAGGTAACGTTGGTTGAGCGGTTATGGATAGGATCATGGCTTGGCATGCCAATCCTTCTCCCTATGCGATGGATTTTGTCCTTGGCTGGTGACCTTGAACTTTTGTAGCTTGTTGGTTTATCCTCCTTCTGTTGGACCAGAGTTGATCTTTGTTATCCAGTCCCTGTCTTTTCCATGATCCATGTTGCATGGAGAACCCTTGTCTTCACCACGTCAGGATCATCCTCTTTTCTCTGCCCAGACTCACAAAGGTCCTCGAGCTGTCCTATTTAAAATGTCGAGCCAAGATGCCAAGCGATAGACTCCCGAGACAACAGGACAAAAACAGCCACTTTTCGGCCGCATGCTCGGGATATTGTCGCCTTGCATGGCATACCTTATCACGGGGGACGATAAAGAACACAAGGATTAGAAGCTACGTGTACAAGGGTAGCTGCAACGTTGGCCGGGAACTTTTGATCAAGAGGCTCCTTGCAATCACCAGTTGGATCGTCGGCCGTCTTGTCCGACCTCACACGGGAGACATCTCCGTGCTTGGCTTTGCTGAGATACGGGCACTGGGCGATATGGCAGTGATGGTCGCAACCAACGAGATAAGCAACGTTCGATGCTTTCTCTAGAAGCCTGCTAGTCTTGTAGACATAAGCCTCCAAGTTGTGAGAGCTTCTAGATCAACCTCTTCCCTTGACGGCGATGTTTCTCACTACTATATCTAGTGTAAGAGTAATGTTTCACAGCATGCTCTACAGCCAGAGGGATTTCCTCGCAGAAATGATGACAGCAGCTTATATACCCTAAAAATGTGCAACTCAACTTGACATCACGAACGCCAAGCATACACTGTTGCACGGAGGTAAGGTAAAACATCCTTCCAACAGATCCTACCCTCCCTATCTAGCTCCCTCCTCCTATGACCCTCTCCGCATCGTCCATCACTCCCCACCGCGGGGTCTCCAATATCAACCTTGCTCGGACTGGTTGACCACTTAGAGTTCAGCAATTGATGTATCATGATCACGAGGAATCTCGATAACATGGCCTTCATATCGACCTTCTTCTTTCACCACTGCCCATCCTTGAAATCGCCCCCGCAGATGGAGGCCCTTGCCCTGTAGCACTTGCCTTCCTGGTGGTGCTCTACACGATAGCCCTCTCGTTTGGGTCGGCGATTGACGCCTTGGGTCGCCTTCTGAGACTCGCACTTGTACGGAGTGGGACTTCGTCAGACCTCGAGACACTGTGGTCACTTATAAAGGCCTTGCCCCGGCTGCAGCTCTGTTTCCTTGAGCCCCTGCTGTACTGAGCTTGTAGCACCCGGCCCCAAATAAGACCACCGTTGCATATCGTCAACAGGATCCAAAGTATATCCACAATGGCACCTGCCGGAGACAGCCTGGCAGAGCCCATCGCCGCCGCCGAGTTACGCGCCGAAGCTCTTGACGAGAAGCGGGCTTCCATTCAAATCGAGAAGAGCGCTTCCCTCACAGCTGATCCTCGAGCCGGTCATGTTCCGGCTGTTACCCCTGATGGGGAGTTGCCCAACGCTGAGGAGCTCGCGACCTTGAGACGAGTGTCCAACACGATTCCCGTCAAGCTGTTCAGCATTGCCTTTATTGAGCTTTGCGAACGTTTCTCCTACTATGGATGCACAGTTGTGTGTAAGTCTGTCCACTTCCATCCCCTGATACAGGGGCTGCATTAGATCCTCTGCTGATTCTTGGTGTTGTTTATATACTGAGCTAAGACTGACATTTCTCAGTCACAAACTTTATCCAACAGCCTCTCCCTGAGGGCTCCTCGACCGGTGCCGACTCGGAGCAGCCCGGTGCCCTCGGCATGGGCCAGAGAGCCTCGACCGGAATCACCACCTTCAACCAGTTCTGGCAGTACTTCATGCCCCTTCTCGGTGCCTACGTTGCCGATCAGTACTGGGGCCGTTACAAGACCATCAGCTACGCCCTGGGTATCGACATTATCGGACACATTATTCTCATCATCTCTGCGATTCCTCCTGTTATCAAGAATGACGGCGGTGCTCTTGGTGCCATGATCATTGCTATTATTGTCATTGGTTTCGGTACTGGTGGTTTCAAGCCAAATGTTAACCCCCTGATTGTGGAACAACTTGGTGAGCAGCACATGCATGTCAAGACTCTCAAGTCAGGTGAGCGTGTTATTGTTGATCCAGCTGTTACGATCGAGAGAATCTATGGTTGGTTTTACTTCTTCATCAACGTTGGAGCTTTGGTCGGACAGATTACGGTGAGTCAACATAACGACCCCTATTGTATCGTGAAGGAGCCAAGACTAACTCCTTGTCAGATGGTTTACGCCGAAAAGTACATCGGCTTCTGGCTCTCCTACACTCTCCCAACCATCATGCTCTGCATCTGCCCCATCATCATGTTCTGGGGCCGTCATAAATACGAACGCCGTCCACCCGGCGGCTCCGTCCTCGGACCTGCTCTCAAGGTCTGGGTTCTCGCTCAGAAGGGTCGCTGGTCCATCAACCCCTTCAAGACCTGGAAGAACATGCACGATGGAACTTTCTGGAGCAATGTCAAGCCTTCAAGCTTCACCAATGAGACTCGACCTCACTGGATGACTTTTGATGATGCTTGGGTTGATGAGTTGGCTCGTGGATTTGCTGCTTGTGCTGTATTTATGTGGTATCCCATCTTTTGGCTCTGTTATAATCAGAGTAAGTTGAAGCCATATCCATTCAATGCTCCTTGTAACTAACGAGTTGTCAGTCAACAACAACCTCATCTCACAGGCTGCTCTCATGGAACGTCACGGTCTCCCCAACGATATTCTCTCCAACCTCAACCCCTTTGCTCTTCTGATCTTCATCGCCCTCAACGACTTCTTCATCTACCCCGCCCTTCGAAAGGCCGGTATCCGCTTCACTCCCATCAAGAAAATCACGGCCGGTTTCTTCTGCGGAGCCTCGGCCATGATCTGGGCTGCTGTTGTTCAACACTACATCTACCAAAAGTCTGAGTGCGGCAAGTACGCATCTGGGGAGATCTGGAGTGAGGAGGAGGGTGAGATGGTTAGCTGTGCTATTGTGCCTATCAACGTCTGGGCACAGACTGGCTCATACGTCCTCATCGCTCTCTCCGAGGTGTTTGCGTCCATCACATCTCTTGAGTATGCCTTCTCCAAGGCTCCCAGGAACATGCGATCTATGGTCCAGGCTGTTGCTCTGTTCATGACTGCCTTCTCTGCAGCCCTCGGCCAGGCCCTCGTCGGTCTCGCTGCTGATCCTCTTCTCGTTTGGAACTATGCTGTTGTCGCAATCTTGGCTGTCATCGCTGGTACTTGCTTCTGGTGCCAGTTTCGAAAGCTCGATCATGTTGAGGATCAGCTCAACGTGCTGCCTGAGGGTCACGCTGGAGCTACCGCTGATGAGGAGACTCCTTACCAGAACAAGCGAATCGACGAATAGAGGGGAGGACGCATGTGTCGTATTCTTTACCACGATGGTTTATTTAGTTTGAGATACCACTTTTTAAGACTGCCGGCATGTGTGTCCGGTTGGTACATCATTGAGGACAAATGTAAAAGTCAAGTAGCATCTTCAATAAATCTTCGCCTATATACACTCCTTCGATGACATACTTCCACAAGGGCTGCTTCGGTGACACCAACCTACGTTCTAATATACACGCGGGCTTTGGGCTTCTCTTCTCATCGGTTGCAAGGGCGAACCTCCAAGTGAGGAACATCGTCGTTTTTATTGCCGGGGCCATTGCAATTTGGAAGGATGCAGACCATCTCAACTTCAAACCACTTACCGGAGACCTTGGTCAAGGCGATGAAATCGAAATCGATCCGACTATGCTTGACAGGATGGTACTACTTGAGGCTCCTCCCCGAAGCGCAACGCTCTCATCGGCGGGCTGTAGGGTGAGGCATGGTCCTTTTCCATGACAGATGTTGATACTGGTGCATGTTATCTCAGACCCAATCTCCTTACACCCATTGCTATACTTCACCAGCTGTTGTATAAAGTCATCCAGGTTTGGCTAATCTTCTCTCCTCGTAGCTTCAAACCACTTCAAGATCGTTCAATAGCTCGAGTAAGCCATCCCGAGAGTGCGTTGGGCATCATGAAGGATAAAGTGTTATAGCATAGACCGAGTACATGCATTCCCAATAAAGCAAACGTTGGTAACGACCATACTTGATTCTAGGTATCTTATTGTACAAATCTTACAGTGACCACCATGACAACCATACCTCAACCCAGTCGGTGACCTCTTCCACGAGACTTCCAAGAGTCCGGGAGGGGCCCTCCCGTCTCTGCGCCGGTGCTGCTACCAGTGGAAGGACCCGAAGGGCGAACAGCCGTGCCATACGTTCTCTTTGTGATTCTAGGCGTCCGGACGATGGATTCCAGCCAGGCAGGTACTCGAAGAAGCACTGGACCGCCGCCAAACTCGGGATAGATCCTGGTGAGGAAGTCGTACATGTGGGCAGCAAGCAGACCCTCAATCTCGATCAAGGGTCTTCCTCCTGGCGTGAGAATACTGAAAGCAATCATGCAGAGGGGCATCGCTTGGGCGGGGATGGTGAAGAAAAAGAACTGAGCCTTTTGACCGCGTTGGTCCTGGGTCGCAGTATACACCATGGCGAGGATGAGGCCGGACAGGAGCTCAAGATGGTTGAAGCCGAAGAGGTAATCCATCATCTGGCGACGTCGTTAACCTCGGGAACGGGCGCGACATGGTATGTATGTACGGTGATGGAAGAAAAAAGTGTATTTTGCTATGATATAGAAATGTAGGGCGCTAGAAAACCACTCGAGTGAATTGGGAATCAAACGAGCCATCCATAAGACATCCCACCATGCCTACACCGCAGACCAACCCGGATTTGCGAATGATGGGTGGACCGAAGTGCAGGGGTGATCTTCCTCATTTCCAGGAACCGTGATAGCTGTAGAGGCAAAGCACTATCCGGGCAGATATATGAGGGGGGTTTGACGGGCAGACAAAGAAGAGCAACAATGATAGAGCACGGGACGGGCAACAAGCGATGGCTTACCAGAATCCAGGAGCAGACAAGGAGAATGTACCAAATCAGGTCAACCTTGCGAGGGAAGCGAGGGTTCCCGGTCTCCAGCTGCACGCAGTAGCGGTACAGATGATAGGCGTCAAAGAGCAGCCTCATTGGGAAATTTTCAAAGGCAATGAGGAAGCCCGTGATGGGGCGCCACAGATGAGGAGGCATCTGGTAGAGATAAGGAGGGTAATAGAACAGATAGTACGCAGGTATCACGCCGAATTTGCCGAGCAAGGTCAACACCACGGTGGCAGTAGTGAGGTTCCTTGTAGATAGTTAGCAAGCTGCATGGTGAAAGGTGAGTGGTGGTGTAGCTTACCGAGCTATGGCGGGCGTGGCCCAGTAGGCGGCGAGGAAATTTTCAGACATGATGGGCAACTTTGCTCAACGTGTCAAACTGAAACTGAATAGCAAAAAGTCAAGGAACTCTGACTTAATGATGAGAAAGAATGATAGTTCCAGCCGACGTTTTTATGATGGAGAAGCACGGGACTTTGTAGCACCAGGCAACAAAGCTATCATCGTTGTTGCTTGCGTGTCATCTTCTCTGTTTGGTTGATGACCAAGAGAAAGAGTTTGGAAGGAGAGAAGGCTGCAGACTCGTGAAGAAAATTGCATTAAATGAGCAAAAACTCCATAGCGGGGCGGGAGTCAAGGGCCGATGTTTTGCCGAATGCCTCGGCGCCAACCTCGACCGAACTCCGGAAGCCCTGAGGCTGGTGAGAGGCTGGTATCTTATGCGCCACAGAGAGAGGGTGTCATGGATGCAGAACTGTTCGGGCTTCTGGGTCCAACGCCAGCTCGTGTGAGCAAGTTCATATCCATATGGTCTGACGTCAAATTAATTCTTCTCAATTCGTTTAATTACATTCCCATTGACTTGGCTGAGCTCTTGAATCTCCAGATATCAAAAGAAGCATTGCATTGACGCAATCCGACATCAATTCGCCAGGATGCGTGCTCACGATGCCATGCAGAGCGAGGAGGCCAACGACGCCGCGTGGGAGGCTGCCAAAGGAGCTGTCATGGGCGCAGCCAAGTGGGGAGCTGGTGCTGCCGTTCTGGGTGCCGCTGGCTACGTCTGGTCACCGTTGTATCGGTCCATGACGATTCAATTCAAGGTGTAAGGCAAATTCTCAAGTACTTGCTCTCCCCGCCAGCACTGACCACCTTCAAGATATCTACAAATGTGTGGCATGGTGGTGGGAAGCATGATCGAGGCAGATGGACGCCTCAGGCAATATGAGCATCAGGTGAGGATGCAGAGGAGGCTACTGCGAGAAAAGGCAAAGTGGGAGAGGTATGAGGAGGAATTCATCAAGGGAGACGAGAAGTGAAGGTCCAAAACGCATCCCGTCTCACAAGAAAGCCTGACTGAACTGATCTGGGTATAACGATGTACATATATCACGAAAGGGGATAACCATTGAGTCGTCCGTGTAAATCAAGTCTTTACTCTTTTTCATTTACTCAGGCAGATACCCTCAACTCCAACGCCAAAGATGCGACCGCTTCCATAGGTCTCCTGTTTAGTTCCATCCCAGTTCTCTTCTCTCTATGGCCGGAACCGCTTGGGGTCCATGTTGATCTTGCATAGTCGAGCAACACATCCGCTGAGTTGGAGTAGCGTCTGTACACCCTCCAGGACCTTCATGTGCGTGAAGCCAATCTCCTTGATAAACTCCAGCTTCGAATGCTCGCTCAGTGTGGGTATCGTCTTGGTTACTCGGAACATGGTGCTAATGATGTCGTGGCTCGAGTAACCTAGATCCCATAGCTCTCGAAGGGTGTCTAGCGCAGAATCCACGTTGCCTTCGTAGCATGCCTTGAGCATAGCTTGGACTTTGATCGGATGAGGCGAGTCAACGACCTTGAAGACGTTGTCTCCAGAGACGAACCCAAAACCGGCAAATGTGGACTGTAGGTTGTTGATGGCCTGTCGCATATCTCCCTCGGCGCTGAAAACGAGCGCTGCCAGACCATCATCGCTGTATTCGACCTTTTCCGCCTCAATGATTTGCATTAATCGCTTCACGACCTGAGCATCTGTCAACTTGGCGTATCGCAGAATGGCGCATCGTGATTGTAGGGGCTCGATAATCTTGTTCGACTGGTTACAAGCAAAGGCGAATCGAGTCGTGTTGGAGTAAATCTCCATGGTTCGTCGGAGTGCTTGTTGGGCGCCCGAGGTCATGCTGTCAGCTTCGTCGAGAATGACTAGCTTGTGGCGGCCAGCTGGTAGAGTGACCTTCTTCTGAGCAAAGCCCTTGATTCGGTTTCGGACAACGTCAATACCTAGTACATGTCAGTCTTTCCCCCTTGGTACACGGGCATGATATGTCGTACCTCGTTCGTCACTGGCGTTGAGCTCCAGCACGGCCTCCTTGTACGATTCACCCAGCAACTGTCGAGCCAGACACAGCACACTAGTCGTCTTTCCGATACCTGGCATGCCCGAGATGATCACATGAGGCATATTTCCCTCCTTTGCGATAATCTTTAGTCGCTCGATCGTTTCTGTATTGCCGACAACATCGTCGAGAAAGATTGGTCGGTACTTTTCCACCCTAGCAACCATCAGTGAGCGATCAGCACCAGCATAGGAGCTCAAGTAACATACCATGGAAGTTCATAGGATGAATTTCCATTGGTGGAAGCTGTGAGAGCTGCCTTGGAGGCAGAATTGGATGATTCGCCACGTTCTTCGGGTTTTTGGGTCGGCATCTTGATGTGTTGAAGTGGTTGATGCAGTTCAGCTGAAGCTTGAAATGGGATGCCAATCACTTTACGCGACTGGGAGAAAAGAGACGCGTCGTGGTTGAGGGACAGCGGGTGGTCCGTGCCAAGGCACCGAGTGCGATGCCCCACTCCTGCCACCGCCTTTATCGTCGCCATGGCAAAATTTCCGCCAGCTTCAACTTTTTTTGAGGCCAAGCAGCAAAAGACAGCCAGAGATACCCCCAACCAGCGACCTCAAACAGACGATTGACGACAAACCAAATTCAGAGCGGAACTATTTGAATATCAGCGACTCAGCTCTCTCAATTCTTTCAACCATCAACAGCCATGGGTGTTGCGAAAAAGACTCGCAAGTTTGCGCAGGTGGGCAGTCCTTATCGATAAGCGCCAAAATGTTTACACTCTAACTCAAGCGCAACAGGTGAAGCGAGTCCTCGGCCGTCGCGATGAGAGGATAAAGGAGAACAAGGCCAAGGCCGAAATAATTGCTGCCGCAAAGGACAAGAAGACCATCAACGGAGAACTCATCCGCGAGGCGCCTCAAATGCCCAGCAACATGTTCTTCCAGCACAACACGGCCCTTGTCCCGCCCTACAACGTCCTCGTCGACACAAACTTTATCAACCACTCGGTTCAGCGCAAGCTCTCGCTGCTTGATTCCATGATGGACTGCCTCTACGCAAAGTGTAACCCCATCATCACCTCGTGCGTCATGAGCGAACTCGAGGGTCTTGGTCAAAAGTTCCGTCTGGCGCTGCGGGTTGCGAGAGACGAGCGGTGGACGAGGCTGGAGTGCGATCACAAGGGCACGTATGCCGATGACTGTTTGGTGGACCGGGTGCAGAAGAGCAGGATATACATTGTGGGAACAAACGATAAGGCGCTGAAGCAGCGGCTAAGGAAGATTCCCGGTGTGCCCATCATGAGCGTTGCGCGGGCCAAGTACGTGATAGAGAGGCTGCCAGGCGCACCAGACTCATAGGGCGGGGCAAATAGGAACATGTGCGTTACAACTTATGATGCATTGCATGGGGTCTTTTTTCTGCTTTATGACTTGAGATTAGTTGCGCTGGAGGTTTAGATAAAAAATAATGTTTTCAAAATGGTTGTTCTTGGCATTCAGTGAGTGGTCGTAACCGTCATTGAGGCGCCCATCAGCCTTACGCGTCGCAAGGATCCAGGGTAGTAACGTTAGGTGATGTCGACTAAAACACACTTATATCTCACTTCGCCTCACAACCTGAATCATCCCAGCAGCACAGAACCGCTGTTTGGATCGGTATAAAATCGCCTCACTGGCATTCTATACACACGCAGAGGTCATTCACGTTCACGAGAACGTCCCCTTACTACCATGGAGCTAGACTCTAGCCCTAACGACAACGATCATTCATCAACCTCAGAAGCCGCCCGCCAGAAGCGCACCCGCGTCCTCCTTTCGTGCGCACCATGCCGCGCCTCCAAGCTCAAGTGCGATCGCGAGCAGCCGTGCAGTCAATGCGAAAAGAAAGGTCGCGCTGCGCAGTGTGCGTATGCACCGCGGCCTGAGAAGAAGCGCCCCGCAAAGGGCATGTCAGCACGGTTGAAGCGTCTTGAAGGCATGGTTCGAGAGATGATGGATGCCGAGGGCGGCGCGGGGCCGAAACCTGCGGGGGAAGCCAACGGCGCTCCGGTGGCTGGGCCCGAGGTGCAGGGGCATGTTGTGAGAGGAGAAAAGGCGACGACGTATGTGGGAGCGACCCATTGTATGGCCATGTTGGAGGATGTAAGTTCACGACCTGATGGTTGAGGCACCATGCTGACAAAACTATAGATTGAAGATCTCAAGAGTTACTTTGATCAACCAGAAGATCTAGAGGATGATCAGATCTTGGCTGATGAGATTGATGCAACTGAGGTTGTCCTGAATACGAGAGCTGGTCCGAAGAATCGTGAAGAACTGCTGAGTCGTCTCCCAGAACGAAATGTAGCAGACCGACTCATCACGCGTTATTTCGCCTCGATGAGTCCTTCTCAACGTAACTATCACCAATCGTCCATTTGAATGAGAAAGCTTACATCCGACAGATATCGTTCATCGGCCGACATTCACGAGAGCTGTAAGTTTTGAACGAAGGATGAATATATCGTCTCTAACAACCACAGTACGCCAAATTCTGGCAAGACCCAAATCAAGCTTCGCTGCACTGGATCGCCCAGCTCTTCATGATGCTCAGCCTCGGCGTCTTCTTCAACAACTTTATGAACAAGAGCGAGGTGGAAGGCGACTCTCCTCTTCCGCCACTGGACAGGATCCGTCACTACAAGGCATGTGCCGGATGGGCTTTGGTCTGGGGGAAATACACGCAACCAACTCCAGCAACTCTGCCGGCCTTTCTTCTCTATGTCGAGTCACACTTCCTGTTTAACCGGGCGGCTCAGATGAACTGCTACATCCTCTCGGGGGTGTGTGTTCGTCTTATGCTCAAGATGGGTCTCCATAGGGACCCGAGCAAGCTGGCTAATATCACCCCCTTCGAGGGTGAGATGCGCCGCCGCATGTGGAATATGGCTATCCAGGTCGAGCTTCTAGTCTCGTTTCACATGGGTCTTCCAAGTTTGTTACAAGGCATCGAGACCGACACAACAGTACCTCGGAACCTGCAAGATGACGATTTTGACGAAGATACCGTCGAGTTACCCCTGAGTCGACCACCCACCGACTACACCACAATGACCTACCCGATCCACAAGACAAAGATCCTCCGAGTCTTTGGCCAGATCGCCCGTCAAGCCCATGCCCTGTCGCCGCCGAGTTACGCCGAAGTCCTCAAGCTTGATAACTTGCTGCAGGAGACATGGCGTAACGTCCCATCGTTCATGATGGTACGCCCGCTCGACGAGTGTGTTGGTGATCCACCTATGCTTCTCATTTATAGGTTCGGCCTGGCTGCTCTGTTCAACAAGTGTCGTTGTGTTCTGCACCGACGATATCTTGCCGAGGCAATTCCTCGACGCGAGCATGACTACTCGCGCAGGCAGTGTCTTGAGGGCGCAATATCACTACTTGAGTATCAAAACACCATCCGAGAGGCTTGTAAGCCGGGTCATGTCCTCAGCCAGAATGGATGGTTCGTATCGTCCTTGGCGGTGCATGACTTTCTGTTGGCTGCCATGTGTCTGTACCTTGTTATCAAGAACGACACTTATTCCGAGTTTGGAGGTGAATATGACTGGATGTCACAGTCAAAGACAACGCCGACCAAGGAGGAGCTCCTGGGCATGATTAAGCGGTCTCACTTTATTTGGTCAGAAGTCGCGCAAGACGTGAGAGAGGTCAAGAAGACAGCTGATACGCTGGCTACTATGCTGGCTAAACTTGGAGCCCCCGTCCAAGGTCCGGCAAGCGTTCCCGGCCCAGCGCCGCCAACCTTCAGCATCGGGCATGAATCATCCTCACTCGGCGCACCATCGGTGGACCCCAGCACTCTGGGGTCGATTGGGGATGATGCGGGCTTGCTGTCATCACTGGGGCTAGGTAGAGAAACTTGCGGAGAGCAGACACGGGGCAGACTGACTGACGCCGCATTAGGCTCTTCAACAGGATCCACGTCGGGGCAGACGCCGTTATCTCTTGGCCTGACGGCCGATGCGGGAGCTGGCATGAACTTCCCAGGCATGGGGACCGAGGGGCTCGACTTTGACCCCTCATGGATGGAGACGGCGGCCAATAACATGGACTGGGTAAGTTGCGGAGCTGTGGCATGCTCGTCACGAAGTTGGGGAAGATATGAGACTAATGACCGTGACAGCGTTATCTCGATATCTCACTTGCTCACAGCCATGATGCGGGGCGGAACGAGGACACTGGCCAGACGTGGATGGAACGGCCACCCCCTTTGGAGCAGATAGACATGATGGGACCAGGATCGTGGATGCCCGACCCTTCTGCTGGGAGCGGTTGAGGTCGTCATAAGGCACAGTTGAGGTGTAAAAATAAACACTCCATGGAGTTGAGACAGCTTCTCTTTCAGGACTGGTGCATCGGCAGCTATCTCCGCCTTGGACACCTCCCTCACAAGAGGGGCAGCCCCCGGATCCAAGTTGAGCTATCGCTTCGGCCAGATGATGATAGGGTGGTGTGGCTCTCGGACCAGTCAGTATCTTGACCACCGGCCACAGGGAGACGCCCTGGCTAGGTCCGCTATCTGGGGAACCCAAGTCCGGGGAAATGAGCGGGCTGAAACCCCGCAAAGCATCATGAGATTGCTATTGGGGATCAAGGGGTATGGATGTAGTTATCAGCATATACGGAGCAGTCATATAATGATAACTGCCTGATAAGGAAGTTCTTGATTTGGAGCTGATAACAATTTGCTGACCAACTTGTCTCAGTATTCATGTCTGTTTTTGTCTCTGAAACCCTGAGAAGCTAGTAGTAGCTCAATAAGATACAATCTTTGGTGAGGGAGGTTGCTTGCATAGGGCAGGTTGAGACACTGCTGATAAGAGAATTGACTTCAAGGAGACGATCCGACGTTCGTCCAATGATTTGCGACGTCGGAGCATTCCATCACCGACAGGGGTTCATGACGTAGAGCCGAGTCTGACTGGGCCCATTATCAGTGCGCCGGATGCTCCGCGGAGATGTGCAAATAAAATGGGGTATCGGGAGGGCTTCCGCTGAGCTGGAGGTGACGCCCAAATCTTGTGAGAGAAGCAGAGTTTGTGAACGGAAACCCATCCGAGTGTGAGACGCGAGATCCTTGCGCTATGAACAAGAACATGTGACCGGGGAGGAACGAGAACCGGGCCTCCTCTTGTTCTCCTGAGAGGAGCTCCATTTGAATAGCGCCAGTTGAGATCTTCCAGAACAACGGGCTTGTTCTAGGGCCGCCCTGTAGCGCGTTAACAAGTGCTGGGCCAGGCGCCTAGACTGGATCTCGGTGGACATGCGCCCCGCGACAGGGCAGAGCCAGGTCTGATCTCACTGTCCACAGTCCACCTGAGAACAGCCACAGTGACTATCCATAACTACATTCTCGCCTCATCAACTTCATCACACATTGCTGCAACCAGCGAGGCCGGCAAAGGCCCGAAGCCCAGGTGATTCAGTCTGGGACCTCGGCTAGACGACAATGGGCGAACGGGTCATGATGACGGGAAATTGATGATGTACGCAGTACTCCGTACATGCGCCATAGCAAAACTCCGCGAGGTATCCGTAGAGGGGTGTCCTGTGGCACTCCGCTGCCCTTGCCTTGGCCTGACAGAGATATCTGACAGCAGCATCTGCTCAGGATGAGATTAGCGCCCCGAGGCAAGACAGCGACAGCCTCCTAGTCAGTGGGAACAACTCGTCCATCACGGTCTGGGCTTGGAGACAGCAAGCATCGTTTGGTTTTCACGTCTGGTGACCATGGCTCCATCGCCATCCCACGACGCCGCTATCAGTTGGTCGAGCAAATAGTATCCGTCAAGTTGGACGTGTAGGTAAGTCGATGAGAAATTGAATCGTGGTAAAAAATTTTGACTGGAGAGTCGTGCGGTCAGCTCGAAACTTTTACATAATCCCAACGCTACTTTCGGCATTTTTCGACGGCCTCCACAGCCATCGTGGACAAGGCCCCGTGGGCTCGTGGGCTTGGTCTCGCGGGCTCAATTACCACAGCAATCCATCCATAGCTCCCTAGCTGGGAATGTACCCGGACGGCCGGCGGCCAAACCAGCGGGAGCGTGCGTGCCTGGCAGAAAGGCGTTTCTGCTAGGTCCCTCTGGGGAAGAGTTTGACAAAGCGTGCGTGTGGTGACCAGGCGGACGATATTCGTAAACGGTAAGTAGATGGCATTGTTTTCGGGTAAGTGATCCTAGTAGAGTTAGTGGCACTGGAATAACCTTCCCTTGAATACGCCGACTATCGAGGCGAGGTGAGCTTTAGAGACCGCCAAGCTGTCACTTGACGATGCAATAGGTAGATGCGTTGTGATGCGCCGGAGATTGGACATGAGGTGACAAGTAGAAGAGAGACAGAATAGTCCACTGCAGAGGCGAATCAGAGTCACGGTCTCCAATCTCGTCTTGCTTCTCGTCGTCGTCGTCCTCGTGATATGCGCCGCAGTGCAGTTCGGGCTGTCGGGGTGCAGCTGTTGAGCAGGAGCTCTGCATCTGCATCGTGCCTGCTCCCTTCTTGACCGAGCTTCAGCTTGTCTTTTCTCCAACCGGCCAATTGCTGGTGCACATCTCCCCGTCGGCTGCAAGTCAGGCAAGGCACCGCGAGAGGTACATGAGACATCGGATCCTCTCTCCGACATTGACGGCATGGCATGGATGGCTTGCGGAGGTGGCATCGCGCAATATGTGCCAATCGTGGGGGAATCCTGTGCCTGTGCTAGGGAAGAACGAGGACCACTGGTCATTTCACCAGCTCTGCCGCTAGTGGAGGGGTTGCTTTAGTAAACAACGGGACGATGGAACCATCAACTCATCAACGGGGAACCCGTGGATGGTCTCGTGATGACCTGAGATGGGCAGGGGGCCAAAAGAGAAACAGATTTGTCCAAGGAGGCGGGACGAGTAAAAGGAATCAAGTAAAAGCTATGTAATAAGAACGGGATGGGCGTCTACCGACGAATGAGGGCGTCGCATATGGCCGATTCCGCAATCTGGGCCTGGAGCATCCCCATCGCTTTGCTGCTCGTGCCATGACATGGGTGGCATTTGCACTGTTCTTGTCGCGTCCTTCTTTTCGTGAATGATGACGACCACCTGAAAGAGTCTTGTGGTTATTCGCGGCGAGGACGGAGGCGGAGTTGTTTGCTTAATTCTTCGGCTGTCCACGGAGTTTTACACCGCGCAGTTCTCCTGCAAGGCGGCGTTAATGTTGACATCATGCTAAAGAAGATTCATCCTTGTCAACAACGCCCTGAGACATCTGTTGACCGACTTACAGAGACAAAAATGTGCAGTAAGACATGGCTAGGTAGGCGATAAGCCCAGGAATCTGGATCGGCGATTCAGAGACAAGCCCGAGCTACCGCGGTCGCCTGATTGGCCATCCCCGGACTTTTCTTCCTAGGTTGGCTCCATCTTCGGGGAGGGTCTTTTGGAGTTTTTACCTCTTTGGCAACTTCAAGTCAAGGACAAGAGTGGACAAGAGTGGGAAAAAATCATCCATGGGTTGGAGCACTTGCCCCCGAGAATGGAGTCTTTGATTCCGCATGACGCCGGCGGATAATTTTTGGTCACCAGAACCACAAGGCAGTTGTCTAGTGGCATCCAGCGAGACCAGCCCGTGGTCAATTCCTCAATAACGACCAGCAAAGAGGCTCAACCACGAGCAATGACCTTTTGCCCCGATTGGTCTAAGCCAACTTGGCCGATCGCTTATATCCACCAAGGTCGGCTCCAGAAGCTTTTTTTCCCTAGTATGACCAGGACCCGGGCCGGTTCCTTTGGTCGGTCTGTGCTGGAATTTTCATCTCCTACTCGAACACGAGCTGGCATTGGCTCGAGTTTTCAGATTGGTCGTCAGTTGACGTAACGCACCTTTGAGCGGCGAAAACCAGCCTCTCGTACGCCAGATGCGAGGGTAAGGTAACTTGACACACAAAAAGGTTGGCAGCCACAGCACAGCAAAGGACAGGCACAGCACAGGCATCCATCTCTTTTGTACTGTACCTACGTACAGTTGCAAGTGGACATCCACCTCATCCATGGGGACCAGGGAAGGGAATGCAGGTCTGGCGCGGGGGCGGCTGTAGGCGTCAACTGGGGTCGAAAAGGCAACATCGACCGTCATTATCTCTCCTGCTAGACTTGGACTCTTTTTATTTCCTCTTGAAGAGATTTCTCTCGTTTGTGTCGGCTAACGCGCAAATCCCAAGCCGTCTATGCCGAGAGCGTAAGTACATGTAAGAGGTACTGATAAGGTGCCGGAGGAGACCCGGTCAGGGAGGCAGGTGACTGGCAGACCGAGTCGACAAAAGGGCAGCTCCCAAAGTACCCCCGTCACGAGATGGTACTTCCGTCTTGGCGGGAGATGCTGTGTAAACCGCCGTCGGTTGAGGTACCGACCCTGTGGCAGGGTACCTCGTCATTGGAGCTTCATTTAAACATGGCGTCGTCTCCTGGCTCGTTCCTTATCAGTCGGTCGGCCACTTTGTTCGCCGAGTGTGGTCACTTTCCCATTGCGACCAACGATCCAGTTGTTATCTTTCCCCTCACCCTCCAATTCCCTTCCAAGGCATGGCCTGGAAACCCGCCTCCAGACTCTACCTACAGTACCGACGTGTAGACTACATCCATGGAAGAGGCCCCCCAGTTCCACAAGCTTCTTCCCCGGGTCTCCATTCTTTCTATTCTTTTCCATTCCCCTCTTATTGGAAAAACTCTGATGCCCGTGCCAGGTCAGGTACTGTAGGTAGTCAGCCCCCAAGTGTCGCAATCGTCGAGACCAATCGCACCCCGCCTGGATAAGGAAAAAGGAAAGGCATTCTGCTTTTTGATTGATAACGAGCCGCCTTGTCCTATCGGAGCACCCACCGGCATAGGGTGAATTGTTCTTTAGGTGGCCAAGTACGTGGTACCGCCTCTTCAGCGCCGCAAGTCGGACCCCTCATCATCAAGGTTGTTTCGTCTGCTGGGTCAGTCTTTTTCGGGAGCTACTTGCAGCACGTTGCCATTCTTCCCCTGCTCTCGCTCACACTCATCACAACCTTTCGGGCCTCATCGACGCCATCACGCTTTTGGCCCCGGCCCCAGATCTGAGCCCTTTCACACGCCCTACCCGGACAGGCCAAGACTGGATTGGACAACCCAAGACACCTTGGACGGGACGAGACGAGACAGGAAAAAGACGTGCCCACGACATCCATCAACCCTCGTGCGCTTGCGCTTGCGCTACAGCTTATACCCACCTTGTTCGTGCTGGCATGCTCGTTCGAGGGCCGCTGATATCCATACACCA